GGAGGCCTTGTTTTGGTCGCAGAATGTCAAAAATTTTTAACTGAATGTAAACATGAGAGCACGCTATAATCGAGTTCCCCAAATATCAGATACCCGTTACTCAAGGGTTTGCAAGGAAATGCAAACGAGATATTTCAACATTTTTGGCAATAAAAAAAAATAAAATAAAAAATGTGTATGTAATTGGGGCGTTTTGGTATTTTTTGGTATGCCGATAGAAAAAATCAAATACTTTATAGGCTCGGAAACGCTTCCTACTGGTTCTACTTGGTTGTGAACCTTCATTTTCTGGCTTACATTTAAGTTACCTTTAACATATACATTTAACGAAACACACGAATACATTTTTACGAAAAATACTTCAAATTGGTAAAATAATAAACAACCAAGTTACAAAATTAATGGAAATATTAATATAATTGGGCAAGTAACTATAAATATTTAACGTTAAGTCTTAAATTGTCAGATAACATTCGGTTAATACAATCTAACTATCAGGGTAAAAAAGAGTAGACGTTAAATACCGCTTAGGACAGTTAGAATTCTTTTTATTTCTTAATATTATATTTTGGGTAACATTTAAATTTGGAACAAAATAGCTCGTACGATTTAAGTTATTTTTTGTCTTGCCACCACTTTCTTTCTCTTTGTATACGCTATGGTTAAATCGCATTAAACTCAACCAAGCGAAAGAGAAAGTATTAAAATATTATCAGCGGATTAAAATCAAATTTAACAAAGTAAAAGTGGTTGGCAAGTTATTGCTAGTGCCAGTGGCCTTGCCTAACCATGCCTAGTTTTTCTCATCCCATCCGGAGGGTAAATACAGTACAATTAGGAAACGTGGAATAACAACGTCCTAAACGGCGGAAGCTTTTTTAGTTAAATTAATTTGTATATTGCCTTTGTTTAAGTCCCTTACTCGTACAGTATATACACTAGATTCTTCTGAGTATGTAACAGGTAAAACAAAAGAGATTTAAAAGTCAATCAAAATTTTCAGGAATGCAAGTCAAATCCAGCAGGCCACTTCATCCGTATGTCCGTCCGTCTAAGCTTCGAGATTTCAGTAACTATAAAAAAGCTAGAAAATTTAGACTAAGCATCATAATGAGGCAGATGCACGCACACATTTGATTATATTACTATTTAGTTGCTGTTGCCTTCGAGCGATATGCCAAAAAGAAATTTAGAAATTCCTCCGTAAAACTCCTACTAGATACTATATCTAATAGTCGGGGAACTCAACTATAACGTTATTTCTTGTTCTACGACTTAAATGTCGGTAAAGTAAGACGGGATAATCAGTAAAAGTGGAAAAGAACCAATTCAGAAATCTTACGGTAATCTTACAAATTACCTTTTTTTCACATTTCTTTGATTCTGGACATTTCTATATAACATTTACTACTTCGGCACACTGCATCAAAATAAATCGTGGTTTCTTATCAAATTTGCCTTCACATATGTACATGCATATATTATATTTTTGTCGTGCCGTTGGGCTTTCACAAACAATAGCTTCTGAAAATCATGAAAATTTCAAACCCGAATTTAAGGGCCTATTTTGAAAACAAACAAAAACTTGTAAATGCAAACTACGAATAATACAAATAAAACCATAATTGCATGTGTTCACACGAGAATCGATAGCAGACCCGAGTTGGCTCCTAAGGGTTGCATTGCTAAGATCGTGATCGACCAGTTGTAAAGTTCCACAAACACAGGCAAACCAACTTTTTTACCCGCTGTGAGGCACAACTAGGAAGATCAAAGTGTTCGATCTGCCCAAACAGGGAATAACAAAGAGGAGAAATTTTAAGCATCTTACCGTGATGCCTGTAGTACGAAACTTATGGGGCTCACTGGGATAAGTTCCTGCATCCTGGGGTTCAGACCCTTAATTATATTGAATTCTTGACTAGTCCCAAGACCGGTAATTTCTTAATTATTCTTTGCCAAACAGAGTTACATCATTGGCTGAGGTTTTGACTTGCCAACTGGATATAAGTATTAACTCACTGTTACGTTAATTTCTGCAAACACCTTATACATCTAATACATGTATTATTATTATTGTATTGTATTGTATACATGTATTATATACATCTAATATTAATTGCAGTAATTGCTGTATTGTCTTGCTGTAATTTTTTTGTATGTAAGAACTCAAAAGATCTATATTTTGATGATATTAGCTGTTAGATTTACCAAACACACCTCTTAACAAGGAAGAGCAAGCGAAGATCAAACCACCAACAAACAAAAGTTTCAATATCAACTGTAGTGACAAAACAAATGTAGAGTATGCTATTGTATTAGTAGTAGTAGAGTATACTATATTCGTTAATAATTTAAATTCTGTAACAGTAGTAATTTTAGTTAGTAGTAATTTTTTTTATGTAAGAACTCAAAAGATCTATATTTTGATGATATTAGCTGTTAGATTTACCAAACACACCTCTTAACAAGAAAGAGCAAGCGAAGATCAAACCACCAACATACACAAGTTTCAATATCAACTGTAGTTACAAAACAAATGTAGAGTATGCTATTGTATTAGTAGTAGTAGAGTATACTATATTCGTGTATAATTTACATTCTGTTACAGTAGAAGGAAGCGCTTCCGACCATATAAAGTATATGTATCGCACATGTATCCTTCTTTTCGTTGCAAACTTCTTTCTGAAAACAATGTGTACTCAGCAAGGGTATAAAAAAAGGACAAAATGTAATATACCACTTTTTTCGGAGTTAGATACTACAGTTTATTAAATATTATTACTAGATTGTTATTATTATCTAAATTTATATGTGATATACCCTTGCAAGTAACACCCAATTTTCGGATTAGTTTATGACAACCGTCATACTTTAATAAAATGTATATCAAGGACTTGTCATACCCTGGGTATTTTTTATTATCGATTGGAGTCCAGTCCACATATGTTGGAATCAGGTTGGCAGCTCTTGGCATATGTAGAAATCAAGACGGCAACTCTCAACTCTCATAGAAATCGGGATGGCAACACAATACCGGCGATGGCTTCGAAAGTATGTACGTTATTTTCAAAATGCGATATAGAAAATAAATTATTTCAGACATACGTGTATGTTTATCGGAGCAACATGAAAAATCAGTCCTATAAAATGTAATTAAAAGTTTAAAAGTAATTAAAAGTTTGCAATATATAATGAAATCCTTGTTATTGACCATGATTCTGTATTTATCAGTTTTTTCCTGGACAGTATCATAGCAGTAAATCTTTGCATCAACTGCATCCCCTACTTATTCTCTAGGCGCCTCCTGCTCCATTCCATTAGAAAAATTCTTCTACTTTTTTACACATATGAAATCCAAATCTGCCGATTTTGATTAGTTTTCTAGAAACGGAACACCTGCCGCTACAATACTTACCGAGTTTTGTATTTTTATTAAAAGACATTTAGATGTTTAACGTTTAACGTCCTTTCTGCTCACCAAGCTAGGAGAGATGTTTTGGCCTTAGTGCCTGTGATGGCACATCATGATTGCATAACGCAACAATTCTTGATCAGTAACGCCGTTTTGCTGAGATGTGTACATATACATATACAGAACACTATTGCGTAATAGTTCTAGTGCCTTCGGCATACGTCTTCGGGTCGTTGTCAGCGCGCTTTATTGCCGCCGCATCGGAAAAGGGAATCCGATGCTGGTTAGCCGTCGAAAAATTATTTTAATAAATATTGGGAAATAAAATATATTTTTATCAAATGTTTGACAGAGCTGAAATACTTTTGTTGTATTATTTTTATATATATTTAGTTTTTTTTAGTTTATTTCTTTACTTTCCTGCTACCGTTTTATTTTATTTATTTATTTATTTTTCAGAAAAATAAAAACCACCAGATTTTCAGATATATATCGTTTAAATATGCGCAGCTCTAAGTACTATTATCAGGAGCAGATTTTAATTTTTATGTTATTTCGATTTAATTATAAGCGATAGAAATGGTTAGTTTAAACAAAACAAATTAAAGGAAATAAGTTTACAGCACCAACCCACATACTTAGTTTTTTATAGGTTACTTCGTTGTTAATATTTGAGAAATAGTCTTCTCCTTTCCAATAGCTATTTGTGAGTAAGAAGAAAGAATACTTGATGAAAAGCAAACACAATATGTTAGTCCAGTGTGAACATCTATTCTGCGTTTTCTTTTCCTTATCGATAGGAAACTCACGTATTTATGTGTGAAAAGGCTTTAACATCCGTATTAACGTCGATATATCGAGAGCTTATCTGAAAAACACATTCCAAAACACATTGAACAAAATAATTTTAATGGACTTTTACATTTGCAAATATTTCCGGATATTTTTGGTTCATACAATAGTCTCTTGTCTATTGATATATTTAAATTTGAAGACCGAAATATAAGGAAATTAATTTTGGACAATTTCGGATGAATTTTTAAGATTTTTTCGTCCTTCGAGAAGTAATTAATGGTAAACTGAGCTTAATAAATTAAATATTAGAGAAAATTAAAAATCCTCAATGTATTCCGCGGCGCTGTAGTGGTACAGAACAATTCATAAACCAACAATAAAACAGTAAAAACTAAAAAAAAAAAAATTAAACCCTGCTAATAGACATAACTTAGTTGCTTCAGGTCCCACCGCTAATATGTTTTAAATCATCAAAGCTCTAAAATGCCAGGCGGAATGTTTCAACTGTACGCCCAGGAAACAAATTCTTGTTAAGGGTTGGCATGGATAAAGACTGCATTTTTACAGCACTCTTGTAAATGTTAAAAATCATAATTTAAAAAAGTTAAGACAACTTTAAAATCAAATTGTATTTAACTTTACAGGGAGTTATTAGCGATATTACTAATGTTATACAAAAAAAAATTTATTATATGTTGTATTTTTCGGTGATAGGGTAATTTAAATGAGTAAAAATATTCACAAATATATATTTATATACAATAAATAAATAATTTGATTATTTTCCTCGATAAAAATTTTAATCACATTAAAGTTTAGACTTCGCATGCGTTTCAGCAGAAACAATTTTAAAAGTCGCTTGTTATGCCACCTAAAACGAAATCGCCGGGGAGCCGTATGTATCCGATCGCGTCTGATCAGCTGCTTTCAGTTCCACCTCGTCGTTCAATCGCACAGCCAGCAGAACAGAATATCTTCGGGTTTCCAAATATTGGTTCTCTATGAGAAATATATAATTATTATTTTGTGCGCAATTGAACACACCATTATTTCGAACTATGTGTTTTTGTACAATGAATACTAAATTTAACAAATCCGTGTTGCAAGTTAATTATGCCCGAAACCATAGTCCCACTGTTGCTTCATTATAAAACATTTAATAAGTACATACTACATGTTAAAACACACAATTGCCTAGTTTCAAAATAGATTTTGGTTGTACAAGTGTATAAAAATAAAAGAAATACCGATAGATAAGTTTATATGTACTTATATAGGTACAATTGGTAGGTGTTTTAAAAAGTTTGTTATCGCTAAAATATTAATAATGTACATTTACATTTATATATACCTTAGAACATACACAGCTATAAAAGTGTACATACATATGTGTTTATATCAATATCATTTATTCTGGTAAATTAAGATGTATGTACATACATATGATATATCTTATTTACGTTGCTCTGTTTGTAAAAGGGGAATAATGCACTTTCAGCGATGAACTGAAGTTCAAGAGCACAATAATTTATTATGTTTATAAATGGTTTTAATTGAATACAATAGTGGTCATCAAGAGGACTTATGTGAAACGTTTATGAACGTGCTTTGCATATACATATATACACATGCTCAAACTAACTTTTACGACTGTGTGCACATTAGGGTGGTCGTTTTTCCACTGGCGCATCTCGCTTCCAAGGCGATTCAAACAATGCAGATAAAATGGGTTGTAGCATCGGTTATTAAAAAATCAATTAATCCGGTGCTACAGGATTTTGGACTTTTACTATATTCAGAGTAAGTTTTTTCGTAGACTGAGAAAAATTTTAGAAAGTTTTTACAAGTTTACAAATCAATAAAAAATCAAGTCACGCCCTCAACGTGCAAAGGTTATTATAACGATAAATGGTTTTGCAATTGACTGTTTTTTCTCCTGAAACATATTTTATTTTGTTTGTATTAATTTAAAAAAGAAATTATATATTGTCAAAAAAAAACTTGTGTATACCGAATAACTCTTTTCGGTAGAAAACGAGTCTAGAATTTTGTTAACACAATTAGCTATATAATATAGTCGTCTGAAGTTTATCAAACTAAAACCTAAATTGTATATTGTCCAGCCTCTGCTGATATTTTGGAAATTTTTGAGAGTTGGAGGAGGTCCATCATTTTGGTGGCGAAGATGGCAATTCATATTTTTATCTTTTTCTGTTTTTTCCTTACAAAGGACCTATTACAAAGGTTCATCATTGACTTCCGTGCTAAGGCTTTTCTATATAAGCATGCCGTTTTTCTTCTTCCTCAGCACAGCTTTGATTTTCTCCCCTGTTTTCTCCTTAAGGTTTTGGTTAATGGGATAGGGCAGAATATTGTCTATTAGCAAAATTGTGGTGGTAAAAAAGTGGCTTTAGTTTGAACGTTAGCTGCGAAAAGTGATCATCATAGCTTGGATTTCGGGAATTGAAATAAGGACAGCATTGCTGTAGTTATGGGCATAAGGAAAAGGTAAAATTAATTCTAAAAAATGATTATTTGAAGATATACACATACATATATGCGGATATATTTCTAAATCGGCGGAAATCGGGTACCTCGCACTATTTGGTGGTTTCTTAAAACTGCCCTTAATAACCAAGTTAATAATAATTTTTAATTGGATTAAGATGAAGTTTGATTGTTATCTTATGTTATCTTATTTTATCTTTTTTTTTTATTATATATAATATGTATTCACTTTACTTTAAAAATATTTTTATAAATACAAGCCTTTTTCAGCATTCATCAACGGTTTGATCTAAAATCATGCTGGCCAACTCATGCTGCGGTTGGAAAAAATACAATACTCATGATCAATATCATAAAACCCTTAATAAAAAAACTCGACAAAACGCATCAGATACAACAGTTCACATAAAGGTGCACTCCAACGAAATCGAGTTTCCAGGTTCTTACAGATATAATTTTCACTCAAAAAAACAAAATATCGGGCGAATGAATATTCTTGGACATATGAGATGTAATTTCCGTGTAACACGATATGTGACGGTCACCGTACTTTTAATATTAGTGACTGCAGTCAGTGCCTATGCTCAACCAGAAATTAAAAGCTTCAGTAATTCCTCAAACGGCGTTAGTCCGGAAATGGTTTTGTTGAGTAACAAAACAAACAACAGTACCAACGTACTATCAGAAAAAAATGGTTCTTCTTCACTATCGGCGGAGGATAAAATTAATGAAAATACGGGAATATTCCAAATGAAAGTACAAAGTAAAATGGGGAAAAAAAGCTCCCCTTTACCAAAGGTATCAGAGTATGGAGATCTATCAAGAGTTCAAAGTGTATCTTTGTATCGCAATACCTTAATTAACATAGAAAGTATGCTACAACGTCAGTTGCGTGAGAAAGCTAAAGTGGATAGTATAGAATCGATTAAAATGCACATACTTATGCGCTTGAATTTAAAAAAACTTCCCAATATAACAAAACCAATTTCAGTACCACAAAATATAATAGATAACTTTTATAGAGATTATAATGCATCCTCAAAAAATAATGTTTGGAATCGCATGGAAAACAATGAAGAATCTCATTTATCTATAAATGACACTTATGGCGGCAACATCATGACTGATTTTTTTGAAGATAGTTCATCCTCCCAAATGCAGGGAGATGATGCTAACACTGTTAATGAATTTTTAATAGATTTGAATAAAAATCAAGCTAAAGAATCGGATATTCCCATTAATACCAACGATGAGGAGTATGAAAGTATTTTGTCACACATCAGCAGTATATACATCTTTCCTGAACGTAAGTAAACAGCATTTTTAAGATACATATAGATTAGATTATAGATAGATAGATAGGATATATATAGATTAGCATACATACGTCACCAGAATCTGCATGATTAATCATATAAATATTTCTAGCTGTTATGGTGGTTATGTGGTTAGATTTCCAACTCTTTTGGACAATTGAATTTGATACCCTGTTCTCAGATACTATTATTATGGTTTTTTTTTAAATTAATTATCATATTACCAACATACTATCTTTGATACAATGCTCAAGTCGAACTTATAAAAGTATCGGGAGCTAAATATATTCAATTTTTTACCTAGTGAATAATGTGGTTTCTTAAAATTTGTGTTTTTATGATTTATCTTATCCGCGTACCATGACATACCATCTCTGACATTAGACTTATAAGAGAGAGGAAGGCAGAAAATACATATAACTCCTTCTCTATCTTTAGCAATCGTTTTCCCACAATTCATTTATAATGTCGACAGCGGAAGAGTTTTTTCGCACAATCGTCACACTTCTTAAACTCATGACGAAGTACAAGCAGACCATTCATATACAAAAGGTTTGACATCAACTTTTGCGCCAAAAATGATTTTGCAATTTACTTTCGGAATACACTTTAAAAAATTTACTCATTCTGCACGAGTAAGTTTAATTTTACACTTACACCGGTTTTTTTACTGATCCATATATTTTTCAAAGTCTTGTGTGCGTATTGTTTTTGTGCTGCCTTTCGATTGATGTACGACAGCAGACTTTCTTCACTCTTGCACTCTCCTGGTGCGCTTTGCCATTACGTGGACTGCCATCCACAACAATATGATTAGTAGCTTTCCCGCTACAGCATTATAAAAAAAACGATATTTACATTATTAATATTTGTAGACCCTTAAGTTTCTTAACGTTACTCTTCTGGTACGCGATAAAAATGGTTTGGACAAATGAATACTTTGAAATAATAATTAATATATAGTCATGTTTATAACAAACATCAAAACCTACTTTTTGCTGTTAAGAAATCAAAATGCGAATTATCAATAAATCAATCATTTTCGTTTATATTTTCGTTCATTTAGAAATTCAACCTCATGTTCGACACAATCGCAAGGTCGATGTATTTCGGTTTCAAATTGACAGTAGCTACTCTGATTTGTCTTACGCTACCCTTCATCTATATCTACGTGGTTGGGATTGGATAAGTACTCATCAGCCTGGGCTTATTGAAGAAATTAAGAAACAGCCATGTAAAGATATTGTTGTGACTATTCACCGCGCTATTAGGCTTGCAAATACAACAAGCTTTACTCCTAAAGTCAAAATGTTTGAGTTTCGGCAAAGTATTCCGTCAGGACTTGGACAGTGGGTTACTGTGGACCTAAAGTCTCTGCTTGGTAATCTTGGGTCAAATATGACGCAGGAAATTCTAATAAAGGGCGCAGAAACCTGGATGAAGACATTAGTGGTGACCACTGATAACACAGCGAAAAATCCATTGGTTAGAAGCCATGCCAATTGTAATGAAGTTCAATACTTACTCTACTTCATATATTTTCAATATTTCAGACTGTTCACATAGAAATTGGGTCACAAAAAAAGCATCGGAGAAAGCGCAGCGTATATATGGACTGCACAGAAAATGATCATGACATGCGATGTTGTCGATATCCCCTTAAAGTTAATTTCACCAGCTTTGGATGGCATTTCGTTGTAGCACCAACGTCATTTGACGCATACTTCTGCAGTGGTGATTGCAAAGTTGGTTACCTAGAGCAATATCCCCATACGCATTTAGCAGCCTTAACGACATCGGCCACACCGTGTTGCTCTCCAACTAAAATGAGTTCCTTAAGTTTGTTATATTTTGACGATAACCATAATCTGGTTTTAAGTGTTATACCAAATATGTCTGTCGAGGGTTGCAGCTGTTCTTAGGGAAAAAAATTCGGTGTGTTTTAAAAATATAACTAATATATACGGTATGTAAATAAATATACGTAAAGAAATATTGATCTGTTTGAGAAAGCTAGTTTAAAGTATATTTCCCACTTTTTCTATAAAAAATAAATTTTTTACATAGGTCACATAGCATGCTGATGATTCCCAAAGTGTTAAATTAATAAATAGATCGCAATTAAACAGAAAAAAAAATTATCATTTTATAATTAATTACTACATTTAGCTTATGCAGAAATATAAAACCAAACACTATTTTTTAAACTGTACATTTAATTACGAATGAAAAGCAATCAAAAATGAATCGTTTCAAATAAAATGCTTGTACGACGCATTAAGCAATACAAGATTAAAATAAACTAAGTACTTTAAGTTTTGACAAAATATCAAATGAATAACAAATGGCACCGAAATGTGGATCTTTTACGGCTGTGCGACTACCTAATTTGGATACTCAGCTAAATGTATAAAGGTGTTCATATGCTGTGTATCAAATAAATTGAGAATTTTTGACGGGGAACGGCTTCGTGCGTAATCTGAGTCAAGTCTTGAGTTTCGCTAAGCACAGAACTAATTAAAAAATTAGAAGTTAAAGTGCCAGAGCAATAGAAAGATATGCTAGTAAGCCAGCCGACTGATTTAGTAAACAGTGAGTACAAAACAACTAGCGATCATAGTCAAAATCATTAGTAAAAGCGAAGACCGATGTAATATCTAAGATGCGTAAGGGGCGTTACTTTTTAGTGCCGCTCTTCCTCCGTCACTTGTATAAAGATAACATGGAACCAGCTCTAAGGCCAGACGGAAGATCACGTTACGCATCTTTATATTCTAATGCTTTAAGAAAAAATATAAGAATGTGTTAAGTTTTCAAACAAATTCCGATTAGTTCCTACGGCATAATTTTGAAATATGATCCCACATCAGCTGATGATAGGTAAGCACTTATAGGCATAGTCGGGCGATGGTCGTGATATTCCGAGTCTAGAGTGGGTAATAAACCATACAAAATAATGCATTTTGCCCAAAAAACAGGCGCACAAAAACCTAACTCCTCTATATACATTCCCTAAGGAGTTCCTCGTTATATCGCCAAAGAGTCGTGAGCAAATATGGCTATCGATTGCATCTTATCCCGATCACTCATCTCGTTCTCATTTTTTTATTATTTTAGTTTTAAGTGAAAATGAAACTGTATTCCTTACCGGTATAAATAAGCTTTCGGTTTAATTTAATAAACTCTTCTGCTTTCATTGGGAAAATATGCCATCTTAACTGATAGAACTTAAAATGCAAACCCCCTCTTATGTATAGCAAACAAATTTATTTATCTCCGAAAAATTTATTATATAACCATTTAGTGATACAGTATTATATATATTGATATACTTATATTTGCATAAATATTTCTTATATAAATTTAGGGGTTTCGGTTCTTAAGCTGGCTTTTTAATTTGAATACTAATCAGTAAAATGAGTATGCCAATTTAAGTCGATACATGAAATGTACTTCTAAGATATTTTATTTTTTGTCGAACACAATACGGATATTTTCATATAGGTAATATTGTTTATGTTATTGGGTGCTTACTTTTATTCTAATTAGTTTTGTATTATACTTATTATTATTATTATTAATTTTAAATTAGATGAGTATATTCATAAAGTCATATACATATATTTATTAATTCTCTGAATGTATTGTTGTTGTTTTGCATGAATTATTTATTTAAATTTCTTAATACAAAATCCCTCGTTTGAATTGGTAAAGCATTCGTTGTAAATATATTAGCTGCCAATTATAAGTTAAATGCAAGTCCTTACAAACTGTGTAAAAAAATATTTACTTCTCTTTTTGTTCGTACGAATGTGTACAATTACTACAAATTATTTTGTGAAGTGTAGTCAAGTTTCTATTTGAGCGAAGTTTATTTAACAAAACCAGAACCAAACGGATAGCGGAAATAAATGCGCGTTAAACTTGATGTTTACCAAAATGTAGACTCTACGTCTTTATTGGAATTAAAATTAATATTTGATTGTTACACCATTTTCTACGCCATACTAAAATAAAAACAATCAAATTTAAACAATGTTTTAAAATGATTGATGTAAAATAAATTTAGTAATATATTTACTATAAATTACAATTGTTGTTGGGATGGTATTGAATTTTGAATTTTTTTGTGGAATTACAATGTTACAATATCCAAGGTCCATCGGTTAATATGAACTCGCCCGAGGGGTACATATATTTTCATCTTTAATTTTCCATGAATAAATTGTCCATGATTTTTTTTCGAAAAATATTATATGCGTGATTTTTATCATTAAACAATAATTATGGTTCCAGTTTGTTATAAGCACCCTAGATATCGTTTTATTTTTATAAAAAACCTTAAAAATTGCAATATTACACACTAATATGTCCTATGTATTTTATATTGAAATACTGATTCTTCGCCATATGAATGAGAACGCTTTAAATTCCTTAAAATATTATTCTATCTTATGAAGAATATTTTTTAGGTATAAGTAATACGTATATATAATTATATAGCTATAGTATGTATACATAAATGCACAATATATTTTTTTAAAATCTGTTTAAGAAATTAAACTTTTTTAATTATATCTCAAAAATAATGTAAGAGGTTTATTTTGTGCAATTAATAAATTATTTAGTCTCACTCGTTTGAAATTTTGACCTTATGATTTTATGTTAAAATTATATACATTTTAATATATATAAGCCAGCCTCTATTACAAATATTCGATTGATTCATTTAACTTTGAGAACGAACAGTACAAAATGTTAATAACACAGGTATAACATAAATGTTAATATTAAACTTCCAATATTAAACATAACTGGAATACGTTGAGTTTTATAACACTCTGCGCAACTCGCATTGTATTATAAAGATTAAATATGATTGACTATAAATATATAAGTCTTTTTATTCACATTAATAGTAATTTTTTTAAAGGTAGTTGTCACATGTGGGTCATACATCGCAGTTTAAAGTATATAAACCTTTTGGTAATTTTTTACTTGATCTATTATTTTATATATATATATATATTGTGTCTGATCTTAATTTTAACGCTAATTTATCAGTCGTTTTTTCAGAGAATTAGTGTCATAAACATTACTTTTAAGACAAAATATATTCTTTACTTTTATAAATGAATAGTTATTTTCTAGCTTATGTTATAGGCTGATTAAAAATTGATTAAAATATTCGTTCAAATTATTGCTTAAAGTGTTTAAAATTTAAATGCATAATTGACTGAGATCTAAAGAAAAAGTTTGCCCAAAAACCTAAAAAAAAAAAGTAGCCAGACAACAAGGTAAAGTTACATTTGCTCAAACTTGCTCAAAAGAACCATGGTCAATAATTTACCTAGTGGCACAACTTTAAGAATTAGCAATCGGATTTATTTTTCATCCACAGTATTTAAATGGTTTTCCGATATTGGAAATGGACTAGAGTTAAAATATGTACAAGATTTATTCTAATTGTTAAAATTAAATCTGAAACTTAATTTTCGACGTCAATGACATTGTTCATATATTTTATACCAACATTTTGAAATAATTATTCTATTTTTAAAGTTTTATTCGTACCGATAATTAAACAAAAAATATCTTCATTAATATATTTGCGTTCTGAATCTCAAATCAGTAGTAGTCACTAATTTCACACCGTTGCATAATCAGAAGGATATAAAAAAGTAATTTATATGAGAAACGCAAAATAAATTCGACAGATTTTAATATCTGTAAATTTTTCGGAGCCTTATCTCCGTTAACGGCAAGAATTACGTGTAGTACACACTAACTAATTAAACTGGGTATAAAAAAACATTTGGAAAAATGTTTTTGGTAGTTTTTTAGTTCGCCTATTTCTTCGATTAGTTTATAATCTTTTAATAGATTTATGCTGTGCGAAACCACTTCGTAAATTTGTTTAAGTCATTTAAAACCTAAGTGACCTATATTTACATAAAAAGGTAAAAACTCAATAATTGAGGAATTACGCTAAAACATTGCAATATTGCTTAATACCACTGTATAACATGAAAATATTACATTGATCGGACCCAAAATATTTGGTTTATTCGATATACGGATACCGAAACCGGTCATGAAAATGATCCTTGAAGCTGGCTTCGGTTAAATAGCCCCTAAAAGTTTGAAAAAACTATTGTACATTTAGCATTGAATAATTTAAATATTTATATTTTTAACGAAGGATTAAGCAAAAAAATTTTCTATAACCTGCAAATAAACACAAAAAAAATACACACATGTAATTTCGTACGTAAGGCTTTAAATATAAATGTGAGTTTAGAGCAATTTACTTGAAGTTTGCCTGTAAGCCTTCGAAAAATGGACTTAGCGTTCGAAAATGGGAAAAAATAAGCTTTTTTCAAATTCCAGTTTTAGATTCATGGAACCCTCCCTAGCTTCAGTCAATTAGTCTTTCACCAAACTCGTAATTTATGAGCCGTAATCAACCAAATTTTTGGGGGATTACATCATATTAAGATATTAGAGGTCTCATTTTTTTTTTAAATTTACTTAATATAGCCAAGACTAAGCCCAATTATGCTTTTAAACCAGAACTAGAGTTATGCAATTCTTTAATCTCGTTGAAATATAAATTCAAGCAATCACTAAAAAATTGTGCTAAATTTATTACACATTAAACATTTTTCAGACAAACGCCGAAAAACCAATAGTAAAAATAAAATCGATCTATTTTCTTTGATAAACATATTTTTGTCTACTTTTTTAATTATCCAATACGAATATAGTTCGTTTTACGATTCTTAACGTACAATACAAAATACGAATATATTTTATTTACTAAATAATTTTAAAATATAATAAATAACCATTATTTATATAATCTATGTTCTTTGTTTATGCTATTAAAATATATCACTAGAGATTGTAGGTCTTCGTCTTCCCTAGTAATTGGATTTGGTATTATTTTGGTTGAATTCAAATATTTACTGTTCGTTAGTTTCTCTTAATATAATGTTCAAACTAAAAAATTATTTTAGCAACACGAATATTCTTAAATTTTCTACTTATATATATAATTATATATTTATTTGTTTTATGTATGTTTTTCTAAAAACACTGAGAACAATTTTTATATCCGCTATTCGTAAAATTAAAGGATATATTAGATTCATTGAAAAGTATGCAGCATATAGAAGGAAACGTTTTCGACCCTATGAAGTATATATATTTTTAAAAGGGAGCAATAGGTAATCTGGCCGTATCCATTCCTATCTCGGGATTTATCGAAGATAAAAAGTTTAGATTAACGAAAGAAAGTAAGATGTTTGTTTGAAATAATTGCCACGCCCACTAATTGCTAAAACTGTCAGGAGAAAACTTTGAAAAACTTTTCTCCCTCGCACTCGAGGAGTTCTCTATAGTTTTGAGCAGCGATGCGGTAGCAGAAAAAACAAACCCGCTCCATTTATCCTATAAGTCCATGCTTACTTATTCAGAGGATGCACGTGCAAGATTCCTTTGTGTTACGCAGTGCGTTTAAACGCTATCAAGAAATACTACCTGACAATTAAACAAAAATATTGTTATTGCAGATTGAGCGACCGTATTGCCTTGTATTTTTGCATAGTTTTCTCCGCATACAAAGGGCAAAATATCGGTTCGTTGGAGTTTAGTATGCATGTATCCGTCGGTCCGTTATCTGTATGAAACTTTCCTAAACTTCTTTATATCTATTACAGGTATGACAAAGCTAGTTATAAAGAGTGATATTCCCAAAATAATAAAAAAAAGAAAGCAAACATCACCGTCTGTTTGATGTCCTGTATTCAGCTAAACGGAGTACGATAGGTAGATATATGCATGCCACGAGAGCCACCTGATGGCAGTTACATTGTTACTTTCTACATAAAATCGAAAACTATTAAAAACTTTGAACTAATTGAAAACTTTAGAAAAGGTGGGCTCAACATTTCTTTGGAGTTTCAAGGCGTGGTCAAAATGTTTTTGGCATATTAGTGAAAACTGGACAGACCAATAATATAATCACAAAATATAATAAAAAGTAAAAAAAAAATGTGGGCGTGACAGTTTGGGACGGTTTGTGTATGTGACAATATTTAATATCCACTTTCAAAAACACGCCTGTCTACCTGTTAATTCGCAACGATCCTCGTATACCGTTCACTCTACTAGTAACGAGGTATATCAAGAAAACTTTACTTGCTTATTTACAAAATTTTTTTGAGCTGTTCCATTTAGCCGTAAGATTCGTCACGTTCCAATTTATATACTACAGGAAATTTAAGGAACACCTTTCTAAAACTGGTTGGCGTATTCACAGACGGACATGCCTAGATCAACTCAAGAAATGTTTCCTTCAATACATTGCAAGCTTCAACATAAAATGTTATACTCTATGTATAATGTTTTCCTCTGTTGAAAACTAAATCAGATAAAAGTCATTGAATATACCTGCTTAAACTTTTGTGAACTACTCCGGAGCTAATCGGAACTTCAAAGGGACGTGCTACCGATTTTTCAGAAAACAAACCGACCATATTTGTTTAAATATGGATCGGTTCAAGAGAAAATATCTATAATATTCAATTTTTGGAGTAATGAGTGTTAAGAATAACATTAAGTGCACTACTACTAACAGAAAATAAAAACACAATACCCATTAAAAGCAAAATAGCTTCATTTATAAATTTTTAACATACTGTTATTATTTGCGGGAAGAATCTATACTTCAACAAACCACAAAAACTGACTACGTTTGACATTACTATTACAACATAATTATATTCCAATATTCATTATTTTAACTCAAAACGAGCAGTTCAATTTTAAAGGGTGATGCGCTATAAGTTTTAACCAAATTAAAAAAATTGCCACCCAGAAAATCCTATTAAATGCTCTACCTATTAAAAAGAAAAAAAATTGACAAGACGAAAAAATAAAATCTAGATTGAATCGGTTAGTGATTATGATCGGGAATATATACTCATTACAGGTTCGCAAGCGCTTCCGTCTACATCTTAGATACCTTTGTTCTATACGAGATACAGATAAAACTAATTCAATTTATTTACTTGTATATTGGATAGTTAGGTTGGCCTGAAGCGAGGTTTTAGTAATTTACTACCTTCTTCAAACGATTAATTTTCAGAATACCCGGTTTATACGATTTTGAAAAAATGAAGACAAATAAGCCCCAAAGCCTCCCTATTTTTCCAAAATTTTGTCAATTTAAATAGTACACAAATAAACCACATTTGTAGGAACGAAAACTCCTTAACCCAAATTAGAAGAAAATTTTGAATTGGTTTGTTATAAACAGAAGTAAATTTGAAAATAAGAAATCCCTATATTCCCTGAATGTTCAACTAATGGTAATAGACTTCACGGAAGTCACGACTAGATGTACAACCGATTAACTAAAAACTAACAAATATTAAATACATAGAGAAAAAAAAACCAAATTATCCTAAAATCCGCATTGCATGGTAAACAATAGAATTACAAACCGGACAAACTGCATCCATAGACAGACAGATGTGATTAGCGCACTCCATACAAAACATATTGTGACCACACGGAACCAAAGCAGTGGTAACATTATTTTCATTACATACAAAGCATTCGCGATGAATCAAAAATTTTTCTGTATTAGATTGCACTTGAATTGCTTTTAACTTTTGTGGTATATTACACATAGGGAGCTCTTTAGTGTTGTTCAGATTTTGTTGATTTGCAGAATGTTCACCCATACCTAAAAGAGAGTCGGTTGGACTAACTGAGATTGTGGGCGAGCAGTGAGCTGTGGGTATGATATTTGCCGGTTGGTTCCAAATACTAGGAGAGTCCCCTATACCCTCGTCAACGTCAATTGAATCACTAATACTTTTCCATATATTCAATATTTCTGGAGGTGTATTGGCGCTATTGTTGGTACTTTTTGTTGAAGTGGTGGAAGAAGCAGAAGAACAAGATCTTGTTAAAATATTTGTATTACAGTTGGGATGGAACGATGCCGATGTAGATGCGGGAGGACAGAAAGACAATGTTTTACTAGACGTAGTGCGAAAAACAATATTAGCAGCATTAGCTTTGGCCAATGGCATAGAAACTTCATTTCCAGAAAGACGTTTGTCATATATATCTGTTGCCGTCATATTCGCTGTCATTTCCATCTCAGCACACTCAGATTTTGGAAAACAATTGCCAGTATGAAGTCCTTGCACATGCTTCACTGAATTGCTTACGTTTTCAATCGTCTTCATTGAATTATTTGCATACTCCTGTGTAGACGGAAGGGCATTTTTGTATATCGACGATAGAATTTCCGAATTCAAATCATCATTTAGAATTTGCGTTAATGAAGGCAGTGACGCGTATTCATTAGCCTCAGCCGAATCACTAATTTGCATAGTAATAGCATCAGCATTTCCAGATCCACTCCCAGTTCGAAGGGCAATATGAGCTTCTATTTGCTTTCGAGCAGTATCGACGTTGTCTGGCAAGCCAGTCACTTCAAAAATTGGTTCCTTTTCTCGAGATGGTGTCACAATGTAAGTTTGCGTCTCTTGTTGAATATGTTTGATCGTAGCGCCTTTTGGTCCCACAACGAGTCCTACTACCCGATAAGGTACTCGTACCTGTATGGTAACCTGTCCAGGCATACAAGGGGGACCTGACATACGGGGAACTGCACCACCACTGGAGCTACTCGCACTTCCTACAATTCCGTTGTTGTGAACATCACTTACAGGCTTACGTGATGCGCGAATTAAGCTAAAGTGGTCAGCAGCGGAAAGTATTTCTCGTTTAGCCTTGTTGACATCTTCCTTTCGACCAGTCACTACGAACACAGGTTCCTCCCCTCGAACTGGCGTCTTAATGTAAGTGTTGGTTTTGGCTCTCAAAGCTTTGATTTTGCACCCTAAAATTGAAAGAGGGTATTTAAAAATTAATCATATTAAAAAAAAAATGTGTATGGTTTTATATCGCTGTGGCGGCAGTCGAAATCATCTAAAATAATTGATCCGTCTTAAACATATAAGTAAAAGAAAGTTAGTTATAAAAACAGGGTATTCATCCGATACCATTACCGATATTTTTAATAAAATATAACCAAATCAAGACCATAACCTAACCCGAAATAATGTTAAAGGAAATACACATACAAAAACACTCATATCAACTGTGACTTCAGGCAAGCTACTACACTGCATAATTTGCTTACTAAAGGTTAATCGACACGGGTGTTTAAAACATAACAGAAAATTTGGCTCCTACCAGAAACCAATCCGTATTGAAAATCACTGTGGACGGTCTACATCCTTTGAAAATCAGATGCTCCTCTCAAAAGACATCCACAACAAGGCACAAAATATTAATGTAAATTTCAAAATTTGTTTCTGTTTTAATTTTAAGTATCGTTAAGTACTGTGCCAAAAATTTTATTTTGTTGAAATCGGGTAAGGCAGGAGATGCCAACTTTGCCTATAAATATACATATGTATATAAAACATATATAATTATATTATGTACAAAAAAGTATAAGAACGTATATTCATCATTGAAGTGTAAATTATATGTGTGTAAGTAAAATGTTCATCGTTAAAAACATGTGCTATGAATATGAAATATTCTCAGCACCTCATTTTATTATACTTTAAAGATCTTTGAAAAGTCTGAGCATACAATTTCTTTTCGGTTTGTGGGGTTAGTTTGGGCGTGGCAAACATACAAACAATAGCGATGACGTCTCTGGTAAATGCCTAACATATACTTAACTTGTTATCTGTTAGAGTTCTCGAGATCTCGACGTCTGATCGACTGGGCGGGCCATCGATCCTGACTAAGAATTTATAAGGTCGGATATGGGTATAATAACGATTCTATATTTGTTTCCCTATTTTTTTTTTTTACATTTTTCTACCGCTCAATGCCACCTATGTACTTAAACGCTTAAATTTCGTGATAAACCAATACGACGATTTAGATCAACATTTGGAATCCACATAAACTCTTAGAGTACTCAATGAAATAATAACATTTTTGATGATATATAGAGAGAAAAACTAAAAACTTATGCAAATCTCAGTAGAAACGAGTGAATATTTGTTAATTTTGTTAACTATTATTGGATAAAATTGGATAATATGCAATATACAGTGGTGGAAAAAATAATAGAAACAAGAATCGCTCCTGCATGTAAAACGAAATTACTAATTATGTACGAAGTGTGTGTGGATAAACCGTTAGCACATAAGCCACTCATAACGGTACTTTATTGTGCACTTCTTTTTGAGTTGATTTCGCTCTTGTTATTTGCAGTACATAACGATATTTGAAGTGGTCACGTGTTTGAACTGGAAAAAAATAATAAAATCAAGCTACGCTTCTGAGATTTGTTTGAGTTTTTCCCTGTTAATTTTGTAAGTAAATCAATATATTAAATACTTTCAGGTATGTTTAGCTCATAATAAGTGATTTTGTAAAATAAAAATTTTTAATTTCGCCTTTATATTCAGAATGGGGCTCGGAGTGCACTGTTCACATGTAGAACGAGATATTATACAAAAACTAAAAAACGAAGGAAAAACAATAAGGGAAATTGCTGAACTAATGCACTGCTCTGCAAAAAAAAGTGTTTTCCGCGATTCATTATAAAGATACGAAGGAGAAATTGGCAGGAAGCGAGCCACATCCCAAAAGTTCGACGACCTTTTGATTCGAACATCCAAAAAAAATCCTTTTATGTCGTCGACGGACCTGGAAAATACTTTCCAGACATCAGTGTCAAGTCGAACAATAAGAAATAGACTAATTGGAAAGAATTTGAAGGCACACTCGGCTAGGAAAGTTCCACTGCTTAGTAAAAAAAATATCGCTAAAAGACTGTCTTTTGCAAAGCGACACCTAGACCGTAAAAACTGGAATAATATTGTATGGTCTGATGAAACTAAAATTAATTTGTTCGTATCTGATGGCAAAATACGTCCAGACGTCCAAAAAATACCGCATTTGATCCAAAGCACACAAAAAAAAACACTAAAACATGGTGGAGCTAACATCATGATATGGGGATGCATTTCCACGTCTGGAGTTGGTCCGATATTCCGGATAAAAGATAGGATGTGTGCTCCCGACTACTTTAACATATAGGAGAATGTTATGAAACCATATGATGAGGAGGAAATGCCCTTAAAATGGGAGTTCATGCAAGATAATGATCCGAAACATTCGTCAACCCTTGCTAAAAAATGGTTTTAGGACCAAAAAATTAATGTTATGTAGTGGCCTGCCCAATCCCCGGACTTAAACCCCATAGAACATTTATGGGGAATATTAAAAAGAAGAATTGGAGGTTTTAAATCAAAAAATAAGGAAGAGCTGTTGGAAAAAGTTAAGTCAGAATGGTATGCTATTAACCCCGAAATCTGCGACGATTTAGTGAATGCCCCGTCGATGCTCAGCAGTTATAAAAAATAAAGGAAATACCACTAAATATTAATATTACAACTATTTTTATAAGATAATTCATAAAAATTAAGTTTTTCTTAGTTTTAAGAGTTTTGTTTCTATTATTTTTTCCAAGCGCCAAAAATGAAGTTAATTATTTTTAGTTAATATAAAGATGAAAAAAATTTTTTTGTTCCTTATTGTGAAATATACTTATATATGAACTTAAAAAAATAAAGATTAAAAAATATTACTTTCGTTCTGAGCACAAAATTTAAAATCAATGATTCAATTAACGTGTTTCTATTATTTTTTCCACCACTGTAATTTATAAAAAGCTTACCCTGTCTGCCCACTATTTCTGCTACATGTTCAGAACTGGGGACTGGAACACATTCGGTCATATTTTGAGACTTCTTAGATCGATCTTCTGAACTGACGGCGCCGGCAGTCGGTAATAGCAGGCAGTTCGGTGCCGATGGAATTGGTAGCGTGCTGTCTGCTTTCGAAAATGAGTGCATGGTCCCAATTTCAAAGTCACTTTGTGCACATAGGGGCATTGGTAGCGGTTGAGCAGGTTGCGCATAGCAATTTTGATTGTCGGTAAATCCGACCAATGATAGTTCCAACGCCAGTTGCAGTGTTCTCGGATCTTCTGATAGTGGTAGCGTTGATTCATTGCCTTTGGATTGTTCAGACATATCGTGATGGTGTGCTGTGTTTGTTTTCTGGATAGACCCTTTCGAGTTAATGTTAGTAGAGATCTTCGGTGTGACTTGAGCCGACATGGCAAGTGCACTCTTATCCCCTTTTTGAAGCGAAATTAAAACCGGTGCAACAGCACTCTCTCGCAATGAGGAGGACCTCGGTGACACGGAAGCCGATGACAAGTTGACGGATGAGATGGAACTCGATGGAGAACTTGAACTCACTCTGTTGAATCCACTTAATTCCTTAGTTATGTGTGCTGTAGACATGTCAAGGTATTACCCAGCTTTAAGCTAAAAGACTTTCTCGTTTGGCCACATTTGGCAAGACCCAAGCCGAATGTTGGTACCAATACATTTGTAGTTCTCCCCTTTCTGGATTTTCTGCAATATATAGAAAAGACCGAAATTGCATTTGGTATACATACGCATGGTTATGGGAATGATAGCTATGCATCTGCCCAATTGTACAAATGTTCTTCGGACTTAAGAATAAACACTTGGCATATAGGGGTACTTTTTTTTTATTTTAGACACCTTTTCTAATATATTACTTCAAACACTAAAATAAACTATTTTCTTATTGAATGCCCGCGATGTCTAAGCACCCAAAATACAGAATACCGCGCTCATGACCAACCCCTAACTTACAACTTTTGTGTCACTCACCCCTTGTAACTTCTTTTCTTCTCATACCCTCACTGAAACACACAATACCGAATACCTTATGAACAAGTTCATATACATATGTAGTTATGTAGGCGGCGATCCTTAAATTTAATATAGCAGCTTATTGCCTAAGTGCAATCCATTAACAACGCTTGTGATGATCTATTAGCAAATCCACGATATATCTTTTTACGAATAACACTGATATCAACACCAGCAGAGTGGCCAAAAATTTACGTGTGTACACTAGAAAACTTGTATCCCCAGGTACACATTCCGGCAGTATTTTGACACGCCTTTTGTATGGGAAGATGGTAAATGGTAGTTACAAAAGATAATTAACATATAGACAGCGATTCTCCAAAAGAACTACTCTGACGAAATTCACATTAGCAGGACAGATCCTCTTTTCTTTTTAGGCGCACCCAATTCAATTAAATTACATTACCGGCATTCAACGCACGATAGAGAACACAATCAAAAATATGACAGGTATCGATGTTTTAGAGATGAGAGCCGGTATACTTGAACATTTTATAATACCTCACTCACACTGAACCGCTGAGCTCTGATATGCGATGGCACACTTATTGTATTGAAAAGTCTTATTGCTTTTATTTGTATAGACCTTTCATAACTGATTTTAAAGTTTAAGGCCTATTATTCAGGCGGCAAAAAAATACTAAATACCAGCCAAGAAAAATATATAATTTTATATATTTTTTAAGCATTGAGCACAGTTGATAGACCGCCGCGATTTGTTAACATTAGATTAAATCTGAAAATGAGTTTTGTTCATGCATAACTAATGCTGCAGCAACAGCAGCTACTATAGCATTAGTATCAATTTGTTTTTTAATTACAATGTCCGTGCTTACATTTGAGTTCTTAATAGTTATGTATTTTGGTTTAGCCAGTAAGACCGTATATTGGTCAGAAATATGTGGGTGAACATACAAATTATTTTTTGGTCAGTTTCTGTTTGCCTGAGAGTTGACAAAATTGATATTGCATAGTTGTGGTGCAAAATTCGGCCAGGTCCGTGCTCTTTTTAGATAGCGAACATCATTAATTTAGAATTCTCAAGAAATGTTTAAGGTAATATTTAATGTAACAAAACCACCCTTCGGCCATAAAAAGAAAATATAACAGTAACAACAAAATTCGAAGACAAATATGTTACAATTTAAATAATTTCGGTAATTTTGACTATTGATCAAATTGTAAAAACATATTGTTCCATTTTTTTTTCATTCAATAAAATATTTATACGAAAATTTTGAAATTTATTATTTGTATTGTTACTTAGTTTATTCATTTGCCATATATCAACAGAAAATTAAATAAATAGGTTAAAAAATATGTTAACGTTAGTAAACTGGCCGTCGCTTAACACGGGCTTAAGATCCTAAAAATCTCGTGTTAAAGGAAAACCTGTTTAACGAATCATGGATTCACTCGTATAAAGGAGAAATTTCAACATTTTCTAGAATTTAATTATAAAGTTACTTTGTATAACTAAGTAAAAATTCAAAAACATTAATAACAAAATATTGGCATATCAAAAGAAATAAGCAAAACGAATAATAAAGTGCGAACAAATCTAGAAATTCCTAATAAGTGTGGGATCCTCATATTTATGTGAATGTGGCCAAAATGTTTTTGTCATATCTAGAAATTGCCTTACAAATGAAAAACTAAACAATTTACTTTTTTTTGTGGGCGTGGCAGCTTGGGATGTTTGTGGTCGTTATAATGTCGTCGTGTCGTAGTGTGGTCGGTATAAAACATGACAACGTTCTAAATCAAACTTGCGCAGCGTAGGAGTCACTAAACACCTCAGCATTTGCTTTATTTTCCGGACGACTGGTCGTTCAACCGGACAGACGAAAATGGGAATATTATCTACTTCATTGGGAATTTATGAAAAATTGGTAAAAACAGTCTTTTGGTTTCACGTAAAATCGAAAGCAATGGCCGCAGAAAATGTCATTATACCCGTTATTCGCGGAGTAAAAGGGGGATTCGTTGAAAAGTAGAAAATTCGTTGGTAGAAGGAATCGTTTCAGAATGAATGGCAGAGTCGATCTGGGCATGTCCGTTCGTATGAACGTTGAGCTCTCAGGGACTATAAAAGCTAGAAAGTTCAGACTACACATGCTGATGCCAAACCTTTTTTTTGCCACGGCCACGTTTTTTAAAATTTGATTTTATTATCTTGTCAACTTCTATCGTTATACCATTTTTCCTTGTTTACATATGTATATTTTCACAAAAAATACGTTTTCTTTACGATTTTTTTTTTTATTTTAAATAAACAATATCTTAAGAATGACTTCCATTATTTTATAGCTAACTGAAATTAGTTTTTAAAATAACGCAAAAGTGTATTGATATTCCGTACATAATCGTGCCGGCATCAACAAAGACTGTACGTATGGTTGGGTTTATTTCAACAAATAACTAGTATAGGAACAATTCACAACGAAATTTTTTTGGGAATATTTTACGGACCGCCAAAATAACGTTATATTTTAATTCGACTGTAAATACAATAAAAAGTTCATAGATTATCCAAATTTTAAAACGGAATTGTGAATAACCTTTTTATACACTCCTATAATCTCTTTAAGATTTGGTGACCATAACAATTAAATCAAAGAAAAATTTTGGACACTGAATCCAATTTGTGTTCTTAAGACTGTAGTTAAAGCAATGTAATATTAAAATGGTACAAGAGGAAAGTGTTAATGTAGCTATTGTTGCTGTGGCTGCGTCTGATGATGCCGCCTCTCTCGAGCTCGTTCGATGTGCCGCTTACGTTCTTCTTTTGTCCAATACCGACCAATTTTTACTTCAGATACGGTATCCTCCTCCGTTGTGGTAACTTCGTTGCAGCGCACATTTTTCCGAATTGCAACTTGGGGTCGATTACGTACTGGGCGTTTTACTATATAGCGCGTTCCATCTGGTCGTCTTTTAACCTTCCATACCATGGGAATGTCCTCACTACTTTCACCGTTAAGCAAAGCAGCATTTTTTTGTAAATTTGTTGAAATATGACATCTGTTTGCAACCTACACAAAAATTAATTACATTTTCTTTATACAATTTTGGTTACAGAATAAAAAAAAGATATATTCAATGGAATGCCTATTTTATCAGGTATAAAAATAAAGCTTTGCTTTTCGAAAAGCAGAATAAGGCAAGAACAAGTAGTTATTTCTTTGTATTTGTATTGGTGTTTCACATCGATGTTTTTTAAAATACTTATTTTATATAAGTACATATATATATATCCATTTAATAATTCCGCTGCCTTTGGATTTGAATGCAAATGTACAAATGCTTTTAGAACTGTACATTCTGTTGTGCAACATTTTCAGATAAAATAGATTTTTAAATGGACAAAAGTTTGATTTTCCAATATTTTTGTATCTTTTCCGACGATATTCAGGGAATATATGTATGTATATTTTGTGAAACGGTCTGTCTGTCGTGGACCTTACAAGATTTAAACTTTAAACCAGGAGAAAGACAAACGAAAATTCTATATTTTTAAATGATACTTCATGAACTACAAAAATTTTAAACGTGTAAAATTTAGATGTATATATTAGATGAAAAAGATTAGATTAATATAATTAGATGAATAAGATGACTCTTATTCAACTGTTAAATTATGTATGCCTACCGATTTAGTTGAACGCAGAACTCGCTTTGAAATTTTCCAAAGCTATCTACAACTTTATGTATGAATTCTTTTAAGTAACATCGATACATTCCAATCTACTGATAATAATAATATCTTACCATATGCTTACACTTACATTTAATTTGCACCTACCTCTTGGCTACTAACAAAGTGGTAACTACTCAAATTTGGGGCGTTAAACTGTGGACAATGGCTATAAGAATCCTCAGTTTGTTTATCTCTTAGTATTTCAATGTCGCTTTTAGGTGGATGGTTTTCATTTTCGACACCAACGTTAATATGCCTCTCTGAAATTTAATAATATTGAGGGTAATTAAATAAAAAAATAAAATGTACGATATATCGTTTTCATCTTATAATAAATGAGAAGCATAGACAGAATATACAGTAAAATGTTGCACAAATTTGAAATTACATTTTTTTTATTTTGTATTATAGAACCAAACGTAATAACAAATTGTATATCATTTTTTATTGTTTGGCGTTTGTATGCGTTTGGTTTTTATAGCCGAGAACAGATTTATACTACATTCGTTAAAAAGAACGAAAGAGTTTAGACTGTAGTTGAAGCCTCACAACATAAGTTTGTTTTAAAATGAAAATGTTTGACGTGCATAAAATGGAAATGGCACAACTTTGCCCACATTAAAAAGAGAGAACGCTATATGCAAAAAATAAATTAATGGCAAATTGTGGGCGTTAAAATGGGAGTGTCAAAAATTAATTTTTTGGAATATCGATAGATTGGCAAACAAAAAGTTAAAAAAAAAAGAAATTATTATTTAAAATTTAGTTTCGTGACTAAGTAGAGTGTCGTCGCTGCATCGACGTCACTAGAATCTGCAGCCTTGTTTACACTTTCTAGCTTTTATAGTTCTCGAGATCTCGACGTTCATAGCACGTTTCAACAGGTTACTTACGTTTTAACGAACCTAGTATTTATACTTGGAAAGTTTTTTAAAGAAAAAGGCGAAAAGCTTTCAAAACTGATAATCGGAGATTCAGACGCTTCCTAATATCTGTAACTAAAATATAATGGTTATAATGCCTACCGCTGACACATGCTGTTGGCAGATTGGAAGAACAGAGACCAATACGGCCAGACTTGCCGAATGGTAATAGCAGCATACTGCTTACAGCTGTGGATTCCAAATGATCGTTGGGGCTATTAATAACTGTACTTTCTAGTTTGCGACCTGTGGCGATACCGTCATCAGGATTTGTAGTATTTTGATGAGGGGAGGCGCTATTATTTGAGCCGCCAGTGTTGTAGGCACTTGAGGAGTTATCGACCTCTTCGGCAGGAGCCGCAACGTTCCCACTAACAGCATTATTTGGTCCATAAGCGCTGTATGCCACTCCACTACTGCTGGATCCGCTTGTGTTGGTTAACGTGCTCCGTAAGGTAAAAACACGACTACATGCAGGTTGCTGTACTAATTTTAACGGCGGGGGTCGACCAACTAGAGTGTGTCTAGTTTTCGGGTATTGCGGTTTCAAGCCCAACCACTGGGCGACTCTTTGAGTTTGTTGTTGCATTGTTGTTTCTAATGTTTCGACCGTTCTCGATGCTATTGCAGATGAACAAGAACCTATCGACGTCTTGCCGTTAGAACGTTGGTACGGTGAACAATACAGTGGTTCACTTTCAGAATCTTCTGGAATGGTCTCGTAAATGTGCTCACTTTCATCGTACTCATATTGCAGATGTTCATTTTGGCTTAGAGATTGATTGAAGCTTTTTCGGTAATCAAAGTTAGCATTTGGGCGAAGCTTTATTTTACTACACGACTTGGTGGATTGTTCAATCATATTTTTCGCCAAAGAAGATATTTTAATATTTGAATCAGATGAATTCTGTTCTGATAGTTCTTCCAAAGACTGGACGTGGGTTAACAAAACTTTATCCAATTTATCCACTACATTTGTATAGTCATCTGGCAGAAATGTATTAGTATACTCAAAATGTATATCTTCTTCATCATCGTCTTCCTATAAAAATTTGTTCCAAAAAATTGCAACCAGTTAAAACATTTACACCTTAAAAATTTGTGCGTTGCCTTATTAACTAATTAATTTCTATCGATTTAACGCTGTTACTCAATGGGTCACACAACTGTACGCAGTTTTTTTGACTGGTTTTGAAAAGTTCTTTCGCGATTTGTTTCAGTAAATAATCATTTTTTTTGTCGACAATTCCTCGACTCTTTTTAACATTAACATGTTGGCCTTAAAGGATATACCTAAAGACTTTAAATTCAAACTCCCATATTTTCTAGATGGGATATATGTACTCATATATACATTAACTATATTATATTATATTATATATACTAGGCTTACCACCTATTTTTAAACTACTTTGAGGATTCATTTAGGGAAAATATTAGTAAACGTATGCGACTTTGGCCATGAGGTACAAAAAATACATAAATAAAAACATAAGGTAAAAACAATATTTGTAAATGTAACCTACGAAATTGAGAGTGATTACTTTGGGGCAATAAGCCAAGATCGGATCAACAATCTTAATCAGATTGAAAAATAATTTTTCCCATTTAAGGGTGTTAATTTTTGAAGGTATTAAATTCTACAGTGGTGTAACCCTTTACTATAGTGAATTTAATAGTAACCTTTTTTAGAACTTTGTAAGTTTTGCAGCGTTGACTTCAATGTTTAAGAACTATTTTTTAATTCTTTTTTTTCGACTTACAGGGTATAGTATTCGACTAACTAGTAGTGTTACTGATGTACTACTCCCGGCTATATGGGTTTCTAACTCCTCCTGGTTTTTCACATCCATGCCGTTAATACGAAGAATCTGGTCCCCCTGTCGCAGGCGCCCATCTCGATAGGCTATACTTTCCGGTTGCACACCACTAATGAACACATCCTCACTCTGTTCTAAGTCGTTACGCAGTATGTCACCTTTATTCGTGTCGATGCTTGATTGCTGAAGTCCGGAGGAGGTAATAAAGAGCCCAATTTGATTGCAGCTTGAATGTTCAACACCTTTTGTAAGCGTTACTTCCTGTTAAATATAAAACAATACAATTATTTCCAAGCTCAATATATCTAACCAACTGACAGTTTTAGGAATTGTCGGTTTCTTTTAAATAACAACATTTGTGTAGTCCGCTAATACTGACGAATCAAACCATCGGTGTACGAAAGGCGTCTACCTTATACATATGTATATCGCACAAATTATTTCAAGGATTTTGTTTTTTTTTAAGATACTTAAAAAATATAAAAGTGAGATAAAATTATTACAGCTATCATTGAGGAAGACAATCGAAATACCCTTGCTCTTGGTAAATTGATTTCAGTCAAAAGTTTGCAAAGCAGTGAATAAGACATTTGCGACCAAATAAAGTATATATGTATGTACAAAAGTATGTATATTCTTGACTAGAACAGACAAGTTTTCCGTCAATATAGCAGAACTATAATATGTATACATATATGTACATACATAGATCTGAAGAGCTAAATGGAAATTTAAAGTTTCTGCACTGATTTCGCAAGAGCCCATACATACCAACGCATGTTCTCTGGTGTCGCTATCAAATGCTAATCAATGAGCACAGCGCAAAAAAAACACAAAATAGGTAATTGGTTTGGCTCGGAGAGGATGTAAGCGATTCTTTTCTCACTCTTAACGCAATCTCTTTCTTGAAAAATTTTGTGTTGATTCGTAGTTAATAAAACGACTGCTTGGTTGAAAATTACTGGTAATTAGATAATTACTGCTTCTATAAGCAGTTAAAAGGGCATTCTCACACAATATTGTAATGAATGGGGGTGCAGTGTATAGAGAAATCATCTTCGCACACACTCTCACTGCACTTCATCACTATGTTTTTTGTCGCACTATGGGAAATTATCGGAATATTAAAACAATACTTAATGTACGCATTAATAATAAAACAAGTGCTGCATACCAGAAATTAAAATATAAATCAGCTGTTACATTTTTTTGATAATGACTTAACTGTCAAAAAGTATTTAAAGTGATTCCAGCAGATTTCAACTATGAAAAATACGTAATATTATAGCTTTTTTAATTGTTTAGATAATAGTAATTGTGGGAGAATTTGAATTTTTATGACAAGCCTACTTTTCCATCTTTAGGATATTCTTATGCTTTTGGTCAGAATGTGGTCAAATTACCCATAGTGTGCCATCTAAGACAGACACTCTTTGAGTAAAATATGTTAAATACCTCAATGTCGATTTCCGGTTCCAGGCATTGCTCAAACAAGTGATGTTCATGCTCAATGAAATTGTCGGTAATCGTTTGAACCAAATCGCTATCCTTTAGAACGTCCGTGTCGACGACAGTTGAGGTTTGCGTTTCCTTCGATGCGGCTTGTGGAGCGCCCAAACGATCCTCATGACTTCCAGCCCGTAGAATCAAAACCACAGGAGTTTCCGTCTCGATTCCTTTCAAAGGTGTGGAAGGATAATGTTTTTCTTGAGAGGCACTGGCAGTTGTGATCGTCGTTTCTGCTGACTTTTCTGTTAGGACAGAAAGTTCTTCGGGTTTGTCCAGTTTTGATATTTTGGCATTTGAGCCTCGTTTTAATTCTAAATCTAATGCATTGTGTTTTTGTCTGCATAATTCAACAACAAGGTTTTCTTTAGCTTGAAGGAACTTTTGAACCGCTTCATACCTCGACAAATGACTAACATCGTATCCATTTATCTGAAACAGAATATATGCATTTTGTAACGCTAAAAATAACAATTTCACCCTAATGGAACTATTTATGGTATAAGCATGAAAATGGTTATTAGTCCTAATTTATATGAAACTTACTTTTAATACAACATATTCGTACTCGGCATTACTCATAGTGCTGCCTTAATATTCAAATCTCATATTTTATTTTCATTTAATTGTATACATATTTTTTCGATAGTGTGGCCAAACCTTTAGTTTTCATTTAGGTCATTTACGTTTTCTATTTAATTAATATTGTAATCGATTCTCTTAAGTAATCGAACCCTTACAGAAACGAAACCGTTAACGAGTTGAGAAATTACGGCGTATGAAATTAGCTACTCTTATACACGCATGTGAAAAGTCTGTGCAAATTTACAATACATCATATTGTTGCAATAGATTAAGTTGGAATTGACTGTTGGAATTTGAAATTGTGGTATGCATTAGTTCGCTGGATTAGAAAGGGTAACCGCGAAAAGCGGTGGCGCCCCTATGATTAAAAAGCATTCCTGATTGCTCTTTCTTCTCTTAACGAGAATCGTTCATGACCCGTATAAAATGTTACGCAGAGGAAGGGTTACTACTGCCATTTTTCTGATCGGCGAAGACTTAACCGCATTACAAATTAACAACTCTTTTACTTTTTCAAAAGATTTAATGTTCTCTTTGGTTGTATCAACACTTATGCAATTTTCTTATTGATAGGATAAGGATAACAAAGTAACGAAGAATTACTTTTCACAATGCGCTACCTCGAGCTATTGCGACTTACACTCTAAGTGAGTGCTCTTTGGACAGATATTATCACAAAAAACTAAAATTATATTAATTTCCCTAGTCCGTCCAATTCTTGACCATTGATCCCCGATTAAGAGTCCGAATTAGGAACTGGTTGGAATCTCATTTAATCGATACCAAAAAATCGTTTACTGATTGCCTAATGGTGCCTAAATAAAAATGCAAACCTTATAACACGTCCTTATTCGAGTAGACAAATGTTAATTAACTTACTTTCATGGTGCAGTTACAGTTGCATGGTGCTTGCAGAAGGTTTTATTTGTAATCTTAGTGGTTAAGTTGACGTTCCGCTCAAGGGAACCCACTCGGATGTTGTTACAAAAAAATGTACAAACAATGGCAAAATAATGTTTGTTACTAATATTAAAACAAAAAAATTTTATTTTCAATAATACGCCAGTGTTAGCGATGATATTTACGAGCATAATGCAATAAACGAAAAATTTTGTTTATAACACTAAAATATGTGGAAACTCTGTAAATTGTCCATATTCTGCACCAGCGGCTTTTTTTCATAAACATTTCTGTTTTATATGGCTTTTTGTTTCCACTCTATTGTTTGATACGCACGTGTCATCAAATTTGTTGTGGATTCGTTTGAATTTTGTGCTGTTAAGTGTAGATGACGCGTTTTCTGACTGTGTGAACATTATATAATAATATAAAATTAAGAGTTTCGATACTTTTGATCTACGTGATCTATCGACGGATGCGCATTTTTATAAGATTTTATAGACCTAAAATCGCCAGGACAAAATTCTTATTAATTCTTGTGTTATGTTTTAAACGGGAAATCAAAAGTAATTCATATTATTGAAAAGAACGTTGAAACTTCAGTTAAAAAATCGCAAATAATGAAATGTGCAGACAGTATCAACAGCCGGGTGGATATGGCCATGTCCGTTCTTCCGTTTTTAGTCTGTCAGTTTTAATGCTACAAATCTGTCCAAAAGTCTTTTTTCCATTGCAGGTAGTATACATATGTATATATAAGTCGATGCGACCCGAAAATAAATGTTCTTATTTGTATACCCGTTAATCGTAGAGTAAAACAGTATACTAGATATATTGAAAAGTATCTAACAGGAATGGTTTTTCCGTATGAACGCCTCGATCTCAGGAATTATAAAAGCTAGAAAACTGAGCTTAAGTATTTAGATTCCAGAGAAATAAACGCAAGATGGTTTTCAAATTTTGCCAAGCCCACAACCGCCCAACACTGTCACGCCCACACTTTTAAAACATTCTTTCATTTTAGAAGACTTTATTTTTGTTTAATTTTTTTTGGGATAGCCACCTCAGGAAGGTTCAAATGTCTGATCCGATTTGCAAATGATCACCGCATTTGCATAACGAGTCACTAGTTCGAATGCGAATAAGTTCCAAAGTGAATTAAACAAATTCCTGTTTAATTAAAAATTAGTAATTTTTCAAAAACTATAAAAAAATAGAAATTAAAAATAGTTTCGGGTTACGAACGTGGCTATGCTAAAATAGTATTAGTTTAGATGCTAGAGATATTTCTTTATTTTGTATTTGCTAAGTTAAGTTTGTTAAGGTGCTAGTTAAGGTAGTTGAGTACCGCAACTATTGGTTATTTAGCTTAAAAAAAAGAAAAGGAAAAAGATTGTGATATGCAACCAAAATTTCAATTGCTGCAGCAAGCAGTAAAGAGAATGCTTTTTGTCCGCTTAACTAGAGTCTACACGCCTTATCTCAGTTGTTTTGCTTGTCCCAGGTCCCCGCCTGTGACTAACATGGCCAGATCAACTCGGCAGTGACCTACTAAAATCTATCAGAAATATTGTCGGACACGCTTCCCTCCACCTGTTATCTATTTCTTAGTGCACTTTTTAGTAAACCGTCTTACTTTTCGAGAAGCGCACATAAAAAGAATTATAAATATTAAATCAATTTAGGTAACTAAATTACATTATTCGATTTCAGGAGAACAGGAAACGGTATTGAGGCTTTGCAATTATATCCATTTAATAGAAGGTTCGCATATACAGTGGCTCACAGCTTATTTCAACCACCGTCGATTTGAAACTTCAACGGTCTGTAAAAGCTGAACTAAAAATTTTATCAAAAAAATTTAAACGCAACATATTTCTTGTATGTTTCAAGATATTATTAACTAGCTTATTTTATTTTTAATAATTTTTGTAATATTATTTTAAGAATTAATAATGAAAATGTTCCTCAAATCAATGCAACAGCTTATTTCAACCAGTTTGTAAAATTGGTATTTTTTCCTATGCTTAAAACTATAAAAAATTTTTAAAAATTTTGTGTGACTTCCCTTGTTGTTAACAACCATTTTAAGGTCTTTTCGGCTCGAATCCACTAATTTTTGAGTGAGTTCTAGGGTTATTTTAGCCCATTCCTCTACCAAAGCTACTTTAGGTCAGATTTATTGGAAATTTGGGGTTTCCGGATGTTTATATCCGAAATTGCCCACAAATTCTCTATAACAATCATGTCTGGCGACTGTTCTGTGGGTTTCATTACATGGGGACAATTCCACACTAGCCTGTTTTGCACAATGCCCGACCTATGTTTTGGGTCATTGTCTTGATAAATGCGAAAATTGTCCCGTATGCCCAGTTTTTCCGCACTATCCAATAAATTTAACTTCAAAATATCGAGGTAACGCATTTTATTCATCGTTGAATCTATAAATTCGAGCATTCCAACTCCAGCTGACTACATACAGGCCCAAACGATGACGCTGCCACCGCCGTGCTTCACTGTGGCTTTTAAATGTTTGGCTTGCAGCTCTGTATTTGGCTTTCGCCACACATAAGATGCTCCATCTGAGCCAAAAATATTGAACTTGGACTCATCAGCAAATATAACAGTGTTACAAAAAGCGGAATCCTTGTTTAAATGCTCTTTAGCTAAGTTCAAACGGGCCTTCATGTTTTTAGCACTTATAAATGTTTTCTTCCGTGCCATTCTACCATTTAAATCATGCTCATGGCGGCAAGACTTTCCTAACGCGGATTCTATTTCGTTGGCAATTTTTGGATAATAATGTAGCCGATAATCTGGGATTTTCCCGTGTTTTCCGGACCGTATGGCGCTCGTCCGTTTGATTACAAATTTTGTTGGCAGCATTCCTTCCCTTGTCCTGCACTCTATTTTCTCGGACAAAACGATAAATGATGCTTTGGACTGTAGAATCACTCAGCGAAACCATTTCTGCAATTTTCCTCCGCGAATGTCCATTTTTAAAACGTTTTAATACAAGATCTCGCTTTGGTAGAGGAGTGGGCTAAAATAACCCCAGAGCTCACCAAAAATTAGTGGATTCGAGCCGAAAAGACCTTAAAATGGTTGTTAACAACAAGGGAGGTCACACAAAATTTTAAAAAATTTTTTATAGTTTTAAGCATAGGAAAAAATACCAATTTTACAAACTGGTTGAAATAAGCTGTTGCATTGATTTGAGGTACATTTTCATTATTAATTTTTAAAAAAATACTACAAAAATTATTAAAAACAAAATAAGTTAGTAAATAATATCTTGAAACATGTTGCGTTTAAATTTGTATGATAAAATTTTTAGTTCAGCCTTTACAGACCGTTGAAGTTTCAGATCGACGGTGGTTGAAATAAGCTGTGAGCCACTGTATGTACATAGTTCAAACTGAAAAACTAGATATACTGCGCGACAACCGATTAGCACACTGTCTAACCTATCAGTTTAAAGGAAAATAACTCCCTACTCTGAATATGTTTCATGCGTATTCTATTTTTCCTATTATTCTGTATCATTTTCGCTCATTCTAAGTATAACTGTGAGCTCTGGAAGTGTACCGTTATTTTGCTTTGCTTTTTTCTTTTGAAGTGCGACAAAAATGCATGCATGTTTTTTGAGACAGCCGATTAGCACATTTTCGCTTTCATGTCACCTTTTGCGTGTAAGCTGCCTAGATTGGGTGTTTAAGTTTATTATTTATTTATTGGGACTAATTATCAATAAAATAAAGTAATAATCGGCAAGGAAAACCGTTGGACGAGTTTGAAAAAGGCAAAATAAAGGGTTACAGGGAGTGCGGGCCATCTATTCTTCAAATATCAAAAAATATTAAGCGCAGCCGTAAAGTTATTACCGCATATTTAAGCAATGAGGGATAAACATATGGGAAAAACATGAAAGGTCGGCCATCATCAGCAATAACACCATCTGACAAGCGAATCATACTACGACACGCATCTAATTCCCACGACTCAGCCGCTAAAATAAAGGAAAAAACTGGTGTTAAAGCTTGCTTTCGGACTGTGCAAAGAGCTATTTTGAATGCTGAACATATAAAGCATCTAAAATTAAAAAAAAAAAACACCTCTAAACCAACTTAGAAAGATGCAACGACTCAATTTCTGTCGATCAAATATGACCTGGACTAAGGAGTGGGAGCGTGTAGTCTTTTCGGATGAAAAGATGTTTAATTTGGAGGGTCCTGACGGCTATGCCTACTACTTTCATGATCTCAGAAAGGAAAGGCATACCCGTGCGGGTCGTTATATCAGTCCTTACCTCAGCGGATGTACGAAGTCATAATATTTAAATTAATATTAAAAAGCAATTTAAAGGAACTTTGAACCCATTTTATTTTGTTATTTTAAGTTTTCAAGTGATCGGCTGATCGTGCTAATCGGCTGTCGCAAAAATAATATAATAGTGAATTTTGTATGTTATGTTTGTTTACATTAATTTAAAATGTTCTTAATAAAGTTAGTATCCTATCTTCTATTAATTTTCGTGTGAAATTATATATTCTTTTCAGGGGAAAAAATGTATTTGAAAAGTTTTTTTAGTTTTCCTGATATTAAGTTTCTAAGACGAGCAGCATAGGGTGTGCTAATCGGTTGTCGCGCAGTGTATGTACATACGCGTACATACAAATAAGATGTTATTATTAAGTGGAAACGCAATTTACTTTCAGATTAAAGATGGCAACACACGATGGGCCTCAGTCATACTTCTCGCGACTTAATTCTATTTCTGAAAGGATTACCTGCGATCTAAATAAAGTTAAATCTTCACATAGTCAAAATGTTTGGCTTGCATTGACATTAAACGAACAGGAAAAAATATTGAACGACCACTTAATAGATCCTAATATATTTTTTAAGTACTGCCATAAGACTAAAGAAAACTTGGCGGCACAAGATTCGCAAGTACATTCTAAACTTAGTAATAACGATTACCGTCAATTTTGTTACGGAGACTTTATATATTTATATAACGGCCAAGATTTGCACACATATAATTATCAACACGTTGGCTTAAAAATATTACGCGATGAAAACACCGGCGATTTTCGAGATGAGCATTCGTTTCCATTTTCTTATCGAACAAAATCACAAATAAACATAGTATTAAAAGAATTTGATGATATCTGTCTGGATACTCCCATTGATGCAAAAAAATCCGTTAATTTAAAACTGAAAACAAAAGATTCAACCCAAACAAAAATACCAATTCTTCAAGTTAATTCTAATGATCAGATCGAGATTGACCTAGGGAAAAAAAAGATTTCTACTCTTGAAGACAACCCGAAAAACCAAAGTGCTTATATTGACGAATGTATTGAATATAATGAGAAAATGAAACTATTGTTTAAATGTGGATCTGAAAACAGTGTATCAAATGACTTCTCTGATTATGAAAACGAATTTAAAGATGTACGTGAAGACGAAAATACAAAATTATTATCTCCTGAACTAAAAATGCCTAAGGGTTTCGATTTTCTTAGTAATTGGTGAAACCTATTTCATTTTCATTACAATAATCCAAGGAAAGGCGTTTTTTTTATAACATATCATTTGACTTCAACGCGGAACACCAATACATACAGTTTCAAATTTATCTACCATAAGTCCAAGTTTTGTATTCAATATTTTTTTTAAACAAAAATAATTAAGAGCTTTCTATTTTTTTAAACATATATTTAATGAAATAAATAATATATATACATAATTTGAAATTTGGTTTACTTTCGTTTAAAATCTTTTTACGGCAACAGAAAATTCCTGCAATATCGTACCTAGTGTAGACTTGATTGGTGAAAGGATCAAGCTGCCGAGAAATATCCATAATTATGCCTTGACAATTTCTCTGTCACGGCTTTCGTTACAGTCGATTCTTTTCTCTAGTCCCTTGTGTATCGTATTTTTCTTTCATATGATTGAATGTGAGAAAATGTGAAAAATCTCAAGCCTATTTAACTGGAATATAAGCACAAAATAAAATGCCTTCTGATTTTGTTGTGCTCCTTATTTATTTGTTTTAAAAAAAAGGAGCGTATGAGTTAATTGAAGTTAATCTTTAGTGGTACAACATCAAATTTCAATTCTACGAATTTCAAATAAAGGATTACATGACTACCGCAGTTTCCGATTCTGATTTAATAATTATAATAATCGATTACATTTGCTCGAACTATTATCGGCCCTGTTCAATTCATTTCCGAAAGGCTCACACTAATACGGATTTTCACATACCTGTTCCAAATCTTTCTTCCGAAATATCCATCTAATTTTTCCTTATATACTTCCGAAAGAAACTCTCTGAATTTTTTTGTAAAGTATTCAGCTGGCGGTCTTTAACCCGCAACACGAAAACTAGATTTTTAGTAAAATACCTAACATGCAATTAATATTTTTAACACATTCCTTGATGTGTAATGTTTATTACCGCTATATCAGACTTTTAATTTCTATTATATTTGATGTATGAATAATTATAGTAGACTAATTTTAATTAATTTACCTTCGCTAGAAAACTGTAGAACAATGGAACAGTCAGATCTTTAATCTGATTCGTGGTGAAGTTGATAGTCGATAGCTTGTTTAAACAATATTTCGGCCTCACATGTCTATTTAATATGTAAGTATGCATGATACCTCAAATTACTTTCTCCTTTCCCTACGGTGTAAGCGCATCGCTAGACACAATTAAGGTAGCTGTGTGGACTGGGTATTACTTAGGATTTTTTAGTATCGATTGGTTTAAGAAAATATCGGTCATCTACCTAGAAAGCCATTCGTTGGTCCAGGCAATGTGCGAGCGAGAGCATCGTATAGTTACATCTTAACATAAGCCCATGTGTTAAAATGAATTAGCACGAGTAGTGAATGTTTTTGTGTGCGTACTCATCCGAATACAAGCCCTTTGTCATTAAAACAAAAAGATTTAAAACAGCTCACCACGGATAGAATATACGGATTATAATCTAATGTGTTGGTATACTCTTGCAGCTCAATTAAAATAAAACAATATTTATGTATGGTTAAATACGGACCTTATACGATCAAAAAAGAATCATTCAGACATAACCTAATTATGCATAACCTAATTGGTCGCGAAAACCCAAGCGAATAGTTTCAGACATACTCATGTGTGTAACAGTGAAGAATAAATTCTGTTCGCTTGTGTATCGTGCATTGGAAAACGTTATATGTACATATGTTCCAGTCAAGAGTTGCCACGCTTTAAACATTTTACATAATGACTTAAAGCACCTGTGAACTGAAATGTGTTGCATTTGCTTTGATGTTTTCATATCCAACTGTAAAGATTTAGTTCATAGTTAAATTAAAAGCGATGCGCACATTGTATATGCAAGAGGCTTTTCACCCCTCATACCTTGCCAATCCGTGTTTGAATTTCGACTAGGTGGCAATATTGCTAGCAGCAATATCTGTATGTGTTTATTTAATACACTAGTAACTGCCGTCCTCATCGTCGAACGTGCGCCGAAATTTATATTCAATTACATCGAAATAAAATTATTTTTGAGCCAAATTAGATTTCACATTTAACTTTATTACTTCTAATTTATTTTGTGAAATATGAAAAAATATAATTGAGTGCAGAATGTGTGTATGTTTTACAACACATACATACTTTGTGGAACCGTCAAAGTGGCTTGGCATGCATACATACACAAATATACATATATATTTATATGTATAAATATATATACTTATATAGAGAAAATCATCTCGCTCGGTATAGGCAAAAATTCTTGCAAATATTCGGCAAACGACACGAGTGTTCAATCTTAATATAAACGCAGCTGCTGGCAATGGATATCATTTTTCAACCCTCTGTTTGGTAGGTTCTTGTTGGATCTCCATTTTGTGATTTTCTCAGGTTTTTGCTTGTATATTCTTCTAGAAGAGTAGACACGCGAATATACTAAGTATTGTACAATGTCTTCTCTACATATGTATGAATTCACAGAATGTCTTCATACATATATAAATATATATAAATTAAAAGTTTAGGATTTATCATATATACAGGTTGTGTAAATATATTTTGAATTCTAAGTTTATCTAAGCCTAATTGTAAACGCGAAATTAGGAAAGGTAGACTTAAAATAGGGTGCTTGCGTCAATGATGGCTGCCTGCCCAGAGTTGTCAAATTCGTTTTACATGGATACATATGCGTTTGTGTATTTATATACCATTTTAGTGTCGTGTATTAAGTTTTTATATTTTGACATACATATGTATGTATGTTTGTCACACGTGAATTTTTCGTTTATGTGCGCCTGGGGGAACTGCCGGTTGGACAGCAGTACTGGTAGTGCAGCGATCGCAATACATATTTAATTTTCATAACTAATTATGTACATATATATATATATATTTAAATACCAAGTATACATTTGTAACTGCTATCAAATGACTACCTCTCTTATATGGAAGGTATTGATATGTATGTATATACATATATCTTGAGCACTTGTTTTTGTATCGATTATAGTTCAATTTTTATGATTCCTCCTTCAGAGTGTACTATAACTTCAGTTAAAAGCCTAAAGTAGATATTTATTTCTGTTTTTATACCCGTTACTCGTAGAGTAAGAGGGTATACTAGGTTCGTTGAAAAGTATGTAACAGGCAGAAGGAAGCGTTTCCGACCATATAAAGTATACTCTATATTAGTATATTCTTGATCAGGATCAATAACCGATTCGAACTGGCCATGTCCGTATGAACGCCTCGATCTCAGGAACTACAAAAGCTAGATTTGCCGAAAAACTTTTTGCCACACCCGCTCTACCGCCCATAAACCGCAGAAAACTGCCACGCACACATTGTTGAAAAATTTGATATTTTTTAAATTTGTTTTTAGTCTTGTAAATTTCTATCGATTTCCTGAAAAACTTTTTGCCACGCCCACTGTACCTCTCACAAACCGCCTAAAACTGCCACGCCCACAATTTTGAAAAATGTTTGGATATTTTATAATTTATTTATTAGTCTTGTAAAGTTTTATCGTTTTGCCAAAAATCGTTTTGCCACGCCCACTCTACCGCTCGCAAACCGCTATTGAAAAAATTGTTTTCATTTTTTTTAATTTTATTCTCAGTTTTGACAGATAATCTGGAAAATTATGAAATTTCTTGTTCGCACTAGCTGAGTAACGGGTATCTGATAGTAGTGGAACTCGACTATATCATTCTATCTTGTTTTCTAATTGTATATGGCTTATATTTGGGAAATATAAACATTTTTAATTTTATTTTAAGAACTATCAATAGGAAAACTAAAAACATTTAATTTTTCAACAGTGTGAGCGTGACAGCTTTGGGCTTCGGAACGTTTTAACGTTTTGACGGTTTTTTTGCAAACAATTTAGAAATTTCATTTAAAAACAAATTTTTTATTTTGTATTAAAAATAATAGATGTTTTTTCTATATTTATACAGATCACAAAAACCACAAGGATTAAGATTAAGTCATTCCTTTTCTAATAAATTACAAAATTCTTAAAAATTGCCATAAATGCTTTTGAGAATGAAGTTAAAGATCAAGTGGATGTTGGAATAGTAAGGAATGCTACTTTTGAAGCTGACAATCAGTTAGAACACTTAAGCACTATGCGCGAAGCCCTTTTTTCCCAAGATGGCTGGGGCTGTCAGCATGTTAACCAGGATACCAATTGGGAAGTTCCCAGTTCACCAGAACCAGCCAATAAAGATGCTGCCGGTCCACCAATGTGGAAGCCAAGCATTAACAATGGCACTGATCTTTGGGAGTCCAATTTGAGAAACGGCGGTCAGCCGACCGCACAGCAAGTTCCAAAGCCGTCGTGGGGTCATACACCATCCTCCAACCTAGGTGGAACATGGGGAGAGGACGACGATGGGGCCGATAGTAGTAGTGTATGGACCGGAGGATCTGTTAGCAACGCGGTGTCTGGAGCTACAGTGGGAGTAAATCAAGCCGGAGTTAATGTCGGCCCAGGCGGTGTGGTTTCGTCTGGCGCACCTCAGTGGGGACAAGGTGTCGTTGGCGTCGGACTTGGATCAACTGGTAAGCATTATTTCTATTAGATATTAAATAGAAATAATTAAGTAAGCCTAAAAGATCAGTTGAAGGCTTTAGTTTTTCCACCAACATTGCTAACACAACGTGATAAAATCATTAAGGTTGTAACAGATATTGGGGGCTAAATTCCCATTCTAAGTTTAACAGACAATTTGAATGTAATTTTCAATTTAATTTGAATTGAATTTCATTAACCCGAAATATTTTTAAATTTCTGTTGTTATTTTAGGAGGTAACGGTTCAAGCAATTTAACTGGAACGTCTGGAGTCGCCACAGGTAGTAGCGGAAACTCCAGCAATACTGGTAACGGTTGGGGGGACCCCCGCGAAATACGCCCTTTGGCAGTCGGAGGCTCGATGGATATTCGAAATGTTGAACATCGCGGCGGTAACGGTTCTGGGGCAACTTCGAGCGATCCGCGAGACATCCGCATGATCGATCCGCGCGACCCTATTCGAGGAGATCCTCGTGGAATATCTGGTCGGCTTAATGGGACCTCTGAAATGTGGGGCCATCATCCACAAATATCCCATAACCAGTTGCAAGGCATCAACAAAATGGTTGGTCAAAGCGTAGCAACTGCCAGTACAAATATAGGAACATCGAGCTCGGGTATCGGTCCTGGTGGGCCCGGTCCTGGTACTGTATCAGGCAATATCCCAACACAGTGGGGGCCTGCCCAACCGGTAAGCGTTGGAGTAAGTGGTCCCAAAGACATGTCGAAGCAGATAAGTGGATGGGAGGAACCATCCCCACCGCCTCAGCGTCGCAGTATTCCTAACTACGATGATGGTACATCGTTGTGGGGTCAGCAAACTCGTGTTCCCCCTGCAAGCGGTCACTGGAAAGACATGACTGATTCAATTGGTCGTAGTAGTCATCTCATGCGTGGCCAAAGCCAAACGGGTGGTATAGGATTAGCCGGCGTTGGAAATAGCAATGTTCCAGTGGGAGGCAATCCAAATAATCCTATAAGCAGTGTAGTTGGACCCCAAACTCGGATTCAATCTGTGGGCGGCGTGCAACACAAACCAGACGGTGGCGCTATGTGGGTGCACTCCAGCAACGTAGGCGGCAGAAATAATGTACCTGCTGTCACTACTTGGGGAGATGACACTCATAACGTTAATGTCGGCGCCCCCAGCGGTGCAAGTGTATCCAGCAACAATTGGGTTGATGACAAGTCCAACTCAACCCTGGCACAAAACTCTTGGAGCGACCCGGCCCCAGTTGGAGTTAATTGGGGCAATAAGCAAAGCAAACCGCCTGCTAACAGTACTTCATCAGGTTGGAGCACTGCAGCAAGCGTGGTGGATGGCGTTGATCTAGGATCTGAGTGGAACACGCACGGAGGGATTATAGGAAAATCTCAGCAACAACAAAAACTAGCGGGACTCAACGTGGGAATGGTGAACGTTATTAACGCAGAGATCATTAAGCAAAGCAAGCAATACAGGATCCTTGTCGAGAACGGCTTTAAAAAGGAAGATGTTGAGCGGGCATTAGTAATTGCCAATATGAACATCGAAGAGGCAGCCGATATGCTCCGTGCCAACTCATCCTTGTCAATGGATGGTTGGCGTCGACATGATGAGTCCCTTGGCTCTTATGCCGACCACACTAGTTCAACAAGCAGCGGTGGATTTGCTGGTCGTTACCCAGTCAACAGTGGACAACCTTCCATGTCCTTTCCTCATGTAAGTAGTCGTAAAACCGTTTTTCTGTTAATAAGCATGGAACAGAAGGGAACTAAACCCAATGAATTTTTTTTACTATACTTACGTCTAAATTACGTCTTAATATTTCATGATATTAATACCTGGAAATATATATGTAATCAATTAAAAGCGCGCCCCCATATGCATAAATATTCTTAATGAACCCAAGGCGGTCCCTTCCAAGAGGTGGAACATTTGGCACAAAGTTCCGGGTAGTGAGCGTTAAATGTGTGAAGGAATAGAGGAAATAATGAGAAATAACGTGTTACTTCACCGGCACTACAATTCTTTTGAACGAAACTGTATATAAATTTGATTAATTCTAAAACAAGTCTTTAGAGGTTAACCAATCTCGCTTTCGAGGTAAAACGATCTTGCTTTCGAGAATTACCGATACATATCCCAATTTTTACAAAAAGAAAATGTTATTCAAAGACTCATTTTATTTACTATAGTTACTTATTACCTTATTTTACATTAGCATGCGATGGTCTTTAAGATAATAGCAGTTAAAATTAAATTAAATTGAATGTACAGACAACCCCTGCTGAGACGTGTCCGGGTAACGTGTTTGGCCTTTTAGAAACATTCGGCACCAAAAACAAAGTTATAAGATACACACATACCTTCAATACTGTTTTTATTTAGTTAAATTATTTTAATATTCGAATTATAGTTATTTTTACTTATATTAAATCAAGTCTCTAATTTTTTCTGTGTCTTCCCTTCAACGCTCTCTTCTACAAACTTAAAACCGAGACTACTTTAGCCTCAGAAAACTGAAATAAAAACTGTTTGTTCCCATTAAAAGTTTGAAACTTCTAAAAACGATGAAAACTACCGATTTCAATTATTTTAGTTCTTAATCTCTCTGGGGTGTAGTATGTCAAAGCTTAAAAACTTTTGAATGTACAAACCGAAGCCTAATATTTTAACCGTAAAATTTCTTTGTTTTGCAGAATAACCTTATGAATAATATGGCAGGAACCGCTGTTACTGGAGGTGGTAACAACAACGCGAACATGACAGCTTTACAAGTGCAAAAGTATTTGAATCAAGGCCAACATGGTGTTGCTGTTGGACCGCAAGCCGTTGGTAATTCGTCAGCCGTATCTGTCGGATTTGGTCAAAACACATCTAACGCAACAGTGGCAGCAGCAGCCTCTGTAAATATAGCAGCAAATACAAACAACCAACCGTCGGGTCAGCAAATTCGCATGCTTGGCCAACAAATTCAATTGGCCATTCATAGTGGTTTCATATCTAGTCAGATATTGACTCAACCGCTAACTCAGACAACCCTTAATCTTTTAAACCAACTTCTTAGCAATATTAAGGTAATTTTATATTTTTAAAAAGCAGCCCATGTGTTACGGTATAAAAACTAGTATTTTAGTGTGGGATAAGTGGGTAACATGATAAAATTACATTAATGGGAGGCAAAAAGTAATTGCAGATTGCAGTACACAGACTCGGAATTTGGTCCCTGAAGCAATGTACTCAACCAACATTTTTTTTTATTTATATATGTTATTTATTAACATTATCATTTATAACGCTGTCATTCCTCTGATGTTTATAGCAAATAGAGTAATATTAAAACATCTACAAATTATATTTTTCAAGAGCAGGAAAAACACTTCGTCAAAGATTTATCAAGTTAAGCATTCTTATCTTTAAATTTAATGATGATCAAAAAAAAAGTTTTGTAAAAGATATGTAAAAGACAACTAAATCGCCAAACCCATGTTTACCTTGAAAACAATAACACTACTTTAAGACAAAAAAATACCAGCTGTCACTGTATTTAAAATGTGTTCTTTCAGCATCTCCAGGCAGCGCAGCAATCCCTTGCCCGCGGGGGAAACGCGAATCCAATGGCAGTGAATGTGGCTATATCTAAATACAAGCAGCAAATTCAGAATTTACAGAACCAGATAAATGCACAACAGGCTGTATATGTAAAACAGCAGAATATGCAACCAACTTCACAACAACAACAACAACAACAGCCCCAACAACAGCAACATCCTTCTGTTCATCTAAGTAACTCAGGCAACGATTATTTACGAGGTCACGATGCAATAAATAATTTGCAAAACAATTTTTCTGAGCTCAATATTAATAAGGTAAGCTTAAACAAATCTTAAGTGTTTCCTATCTCGGCCTGATTTTTGAAGAAATAATTATTATCCTATGTAAAAAAGGTAATTTTCTTTATATTTTAGTTTTCCTCATTTTTTATTCATCTGACTGTTTTAAGCAAAATAGCAATAAGCAAAATGGTAACGTTCAAGTATTTGGTTTTATTTGTGTATTGATGCTTTGGGCACCTCTGGTTTAGATAGTAAAAGATAAAGAGATTTCTCTCGAAATTGATCAGCACCTGAATCCAGCTAGCCATGACATACTGAATTTCTGGAGCTTCAGAAAGGGCTTAGGTGTCTATCGAAATTTAATATAAAAACAAACCTGCACAAATTCAGTTTATTAAACTTATATGTTTATGAACTTAAATCAATAAAATGCTTTCAGCCAAGTGGATATCAAGGAGCGTCCAATCAACAATCCCGATTAAATCAGTGGAAGCTTCCAGTATTAGATAAGGAGATCAACTCTGACAGTGCGGAATTTTCTCGTGCCCCAGGTGCAACTAAACAAAATTTGACCGGAAACTCAAGCAACATAAGCTCTTTGGGTCTTCAAAACGATAGGTAAGTTATTTAGTTCATTATTTAGTTTACTCTTAGTTAATACATATAAATATAAAAATATCATATAATAGGTTGGAAAATATCTCCCTTCCGCTTTTTTGCTCTTTATTCAATGCCTTATAAAAAGTGTTACAGTGATCGGATTTAGTTCAAATATGCGCCGTTTTGTTCGATAATCTGTTTCCATCTAGATGGCAACTTCATAATACCTCCCTCGTAGAAGCCCCCCTCCTTATTTGCGAAGAACTCGGACAGCCACTTTTCACAAGCCTCTTTTGAGTTCATCTTTACACCACCAAGGGCATTCGCCATGGACAGAAACAGGTGGTAATCACTTGACGCTATGTCCGGGCTATATGGTGGATGCGATAAAACCACCCATCCGAGCTCCCGTAGCTTCTGACGAGTCATCAACGAAGTGTGTGGTCTGGCGTTGTCCTGGTGAAGCACTACACCCTTCCTGTTGGCCAATTCTGGACGCTTCTGGTCGATCGCCTGCTTCAAGCGGTCCAGTTGTTCGCAGTAGATGGTAGAATTAAGCGTCTGGCCAAATGGGAGCAGCTCATAGTGGATGATTCCCTTCCAATCCCACCAAACACACAGCAAAACCTTCCTGGCCGTCAATCCCGGCTTGGCCACTGTTTGGGACGATTCACCAGCCTTCGACCACGGCCATTTTCGCTTGATATTGTCGTATGTGATCCATTTTTCGTCGCCAGTCACCATCCGCTTCAAGAATGGGTCGAGTTCGTTCCGTTTCAGCAGCATATCGCAGGCGTTGATGCGGTCCAGAAGGTTTTTTTGCGTCAAATCATGCGGCACCCAAACATCAAGCTTTTTTTTGTATCCAGCCTTCTGCAGATGGTTTAAAATGGTTTGGTGACTAACTCCCATCTCCTGGGCGATGTCACGAGATGCCACATGCCGGTCTAACTCGATGTATTCCATGATTTGATCGGTATTTGTCGTCACAGGTCTTCCGCCGGCTGGCTTATCCATGGTGTCGTTTTCACCGGCTCTGAATCGTCGAAACCATTCCTCCGCTGTTCGAAGTGATAGAGTACCATCCCCCAAAACACCATTAATCTCACGGAACGTTTCTCTAGCGGATTTGCCTTTAACGAAGGAAAACTTTAAAATAGCGCGAATTTCGGCGTTAGTGAACTCCATGTTTACACGTCTATAACTGTTGAACGCAATATCCAAACTAATCATGCATAGCGTCGTTTTGTAGGTTATGTCAAGACCTTTCAAATTATGTATAGTATTGCCAGATGTAGCGCTTTGTACATAGCCGCGAAATTCAAAAGACAAAAAGGCGGAAGGGAGATATTTGCCAAACTAATATATCATATCATATATAAACAGATCTGAAAAAGATTTAATGAAGTGCAAAACACGTACGAATATGACTTTGTGAAAGATGTCGGATTCGTACAAAATAATCTTACCATAACTTTCAAAGGCATACTGAGCATTTGACATTGTAATTTTGAGGTTTTAAAAATGTTACAAAATGTAATATATTACTATGTAGATCTAAAAAATGTTTTAAAAATGTTACAAAATGTAATATATTACTATGTAGATCTACTCGCAAAGTAAAATTGTATATCAAGTTCGTTGAAAAGTAGTAGCCGAAAATATATTCTTAAATTTATATCTGTCTGACCATCCGTCTGTGTTTAAAACAGCTAGAGATTCTTAAGTGAATCTATACACTACGATGTAGTCGATATAGCCATGCCCTTCTGTCCGTCTTTACGAAAACTAGTTTTTTAAAAGATATACAAGTTTTAATTTGATCGAAATCGGACCGCTATATCATATAGTTACAGTTTGAAAATTTCTAGCTAACTAATGAAAAAGAAACCATAGCTTCGCTTTTTTTTTTTTATAACTCAGTACGACTACAAATATTTTGTTGTATATTCTATTAAAGCGGTACATCTTTCTTTTCATTCTTATCATTGCTTTCTGGACATTCCTTTTTATCGTTTTGAGCTCAAAATGTCTTCAGTGTAGGGTATTTTTCTTGATATTCACCCCCCACGCTGCATCTCCAGAATCAGAATGTCAACCTATACTGCAATGTATGCGCCGCCTGAACCAATATGAGAATTTTGATTGTTTTTTACAGACGTTTCATCTCGTTGTTCCACAACTTAACTTTGCAGTCTAAGAATATACCACAAAAATATATATTGTTGATATTTATATTTTCATATGGGTCTTGAAACATTGTAATTTGTCGAGAGCAAACACTAGTGATTCAAAAATACGAAGATGTTTGGAGAGGTGTTTTGCCCTTTAGTCCCTGTGAACTGTTCCGCAAATAAGTCTCATCATTGCATAACGCCACAATTCTTGCTCAGTAATGCCGGTTTGCTGCGGGGTATATACGTATACAGAAAAGCCTTTTATCTTTTGATTCCACAATTTGATCCAACAAATGATAATGGGGAAAAAACACTCGGTGAAACGATTGCTTGTGAAATGAGTGTATCGACTGTTTTATTACTTATCATGCCAAAATGTAAAACAGCCTATAACTTTTTATATTTTAAGCCAATATTCCATCATCGTCACAATTGACAATTGATTCCTATTACATTTAGCTATATAACATAATGCATTTTTTAATGTGATTATCGAATTTCATAGTACCTGGTCAACTGGTCGCAATATTGGGGACGGTTGGCCTGACCCCTCATCTGATAACGAGAATAAAGACTGGTCAGTTGCTCAGCCAACTTCAGCAGCAACTGCTTATACTGACCTGGTCCAAGAGTTTGAGCCAGGCAAGCCATGGAAGGTAAAATTGTTAATTTACATAAAATGTAAACATATCCAAGCAGAAGTTTGTTTTTAAGGGTTCACAGATCAAAAGCATAGAAGACGATCCCAGCATTACCCCAGGAAGCGTTGCTAGATCTCCATTATCTATTAATTCGACGCCAAAAGATGCTGACATATTTGCTACCGGTAAAAACTCACCGACTGATTTACCGCCACTAAGTTTATCGTCGTCTACATGGAGTTTTAATCCAAACCAAAATTTTCCGAGGTAAAGTACGAATGTTTAAATATATAACCAAATATATGAATCGATTATATTTCAATACCGTCACAGTTGGTCTGACAATAGTCAACAATGTGCCGCCACTTCAGAGCTATGGACAAGTCCCCTAAATAAATCATCGTCTCGAGGTCCCCCACCAGGATTGACTGCCAATTCAAATAAATCTGGAAATGGAGGAAATAGTTGTACGTCAACGCCAACGACCATTACCGGAGGTGCTAATGGATGGTTACAGGCTCGAAGTGGCGGTGTTCCAACCACAAACACGACTTGGACAGGTGGTAACACCTCTTGGGGCTCCAGTTGGTTGCTTCTAAGAAATCTTACAGCACAGGTATGTTTAAAACGTCAATTTTTGACCATCACTGGCTATTAAAAAGTGATTCAACAAACAAATACATTTTAGCTTTTTTGGTAAATTTCTCGCAAACGAGTCTTTTAAAATTCAAAGCTGTATGGAACTTGAATTTTTAGTACTTAGTAGTAAAAATGCACAATTTAATGTTATTACAAATCAAAATGGATTACTCCTCAGTTTAGAACATAACTCTTCTTTACCAATAAATTTAGTATGAGTAAAGACATTAGAATAACAATATGCCTAACCCAATACGATTCTTTTGTACACAATTTTTTTGTGTTGGCTCTAGCTGGCTCCAAGCTCTCTCGAATTTTTGTTCCACAGTCTTGTGCTCTTGTACGCATTCAGCGACAGTCGATCACTGTATGTGTGCACACGTATGCTCATGTATTGTACATTTGACAAAATATTCCCTTTACTTTACAAGTTTATGGACTTTCAATCTATATTATGTTTATCTATTGCCACCATGTACAAAATCTAATTATTTGAATACATCAAATAAATAGTAAAAGATGAATAAATAATACCTAATTATTTTCTTAAATTATTTATACCACAATTATTGTTGTTAGAGTTTTCAGCTTGCGACGTGGAAAAAATATGTGAAGTTTGTGATTCTTAGGTGCTTATGTCAGCTGGTCCTGCCTTAAGAATTGAATTTTGCAATAAAAAGGTTGCATATTTATATTTATTTTATAAATATTAATTTTAAAATATGAATTATTTTTATAATATAAATATATATTTTTTTTTATCCTGTATATGTATTTCCGTGCAAAAGGTGGTAACTGTAGGAATCCTCTAGTTAAGGAATTTTATAATATAATAATTGCCAAACTAATATCCCTACACATTTTTAAATTTTCACAAAAGCCGAATTGCGAATCAAATGATGATGTTATGTTGCCAATAGAGTTCGATGCAATTATATATCAGCCTTGCCTTGAAAAAAAAGAAGCAAGAATATTTAATTTTCAGAAATTGTACAAGGCGATGAGAGGTACTTTGATCAAAATATAGATGATTTTTTGTGCCTGAATTTTGCCCCATTGAATTAACTTCGAGTACATCTTTTGTTGGATATTTTGCTAGGGAATCCAGTTGCGCTAAATGCAGATCGTTAGTTTTAAAAGAAAGCGAGCATTTAACAGCTCTATCAAAGCTTTTCATACATGAGAAAAACTACACGATAGAATCGGACTTTGGAAAAATAAAGGCACCATCTGGTTTTTTTTTTATATCTTCAAAATACACATTAATGTTTTTGAAAATATTTTAAAAAATAATACAAAATAATCTGTTGTAGAGCAATACATAAAGTGCACAAATGAAAGTAGCGATCTCATTATGGGTTCACTCAAAAAAAGAACGTTTGTGCACAAAATTGATATTTTAAACAAACTCATAAAAGTTTTACTTTTTAAGCAATGCAAGTGGACTGTAATAGCTGATAGGAAAAAAGCACTTATGTCAGCATTCTATCTTACTTCATAAATTAAAAAATGAGTGATAGTTCCATGTTAAAAAATATTTAAATAATTGACTGAAAATAAATATATATACATAGTAAAAACACATGATAGAATGCTATAGTCGACTTCTGGAATATCGGTAAAATTGGGGTTTGTGGGCGTTACATTTGAAAATAAACTTGCGCTGCGTCTATGTCTCTGGAAGCTGCATGCTTAATCTCAACATTCTAGCTTTTGTAGTTCCTGAGATCGAGGTGTTCATACGGACAGACGAACGGACGAACGGACGAACGGACATGGCCAGTTCCACTCAGCTATTGATCCTGATCAACAAATTCATATCAACAATTCATCACGAAATTCAAATTCGTTTCTTAGATTAAAATCGTCTTCTAGCACAAGTACGCAGACATACACACTTTCTTGCTAACTGTTTTTACTCACACAAGCAAGTGAATTATATTTTTCGATTTTAATGCCTTTCCTGGCCTTGCGCTTACTTAAATCTCTTCCTGTCTTCAGGAATGTTCCCTAACATATTCATTTATCCTTTATATACAAAGCTTGCCTATCAGAACAGTACTATGATCACCAACATGCAACTTAATCGGTTTCTAAATAAATACTTTGTGTAACAGGTCAGAGTTAATGTTTCTGCTCTTCAAAGGTATATTAAATAACTAAAATCAGGAACTATGTATTTATCTAACGCCATTTTTTTTCTAATTCTAAAAGTTGTTTATTACAAAGTGGATTTTTTAATGACTATTATAGTTGTAAGACATCATAATTTTTTATGTCGTAACTTTACGTAATTTTGTCGTATTTTTTTTTTCAGATTGATGGTCCTACTTTGCGTACATTGTGTATGCAGCATGGCCCCCTTGTTAGCTTTCACCCGTATTTGAACCAAGGAATTGCCTTATGTAAATATACAACTCGAGAAGAGGCGAACAAAGCGCAAATGGCGTTAAACAACTGTGTCCTCGCCAACACCACAATATTTGCTGAATCTCCCAGCGAGAACGAGGTGCAAAACATAATGCAGCACTTATCACAAACTTCTTCCTCTACAAGCTCTAGTGGAACTGGTGCTGGGAACGGCGTAGGCATCGGCAGTTCAGCCAATAATGTAAACAGTGGCTCTGGAGCTTGTCTATCCGGAAACAATAGCGGCAACGGTAACGGAAACAGCAGCGCGAGTGGCGCCTGCAGCGGCAACAATGGCAATAGTAGTGGCAACAACAGTGGTGGCGGGGGGGGCAGCAGCTGCAGCAACAACACGATTACCACTGTAGCAAATTCAAGTCTGCTTGGTTCTAGTGGAGGCTCTGTCTCAAATTCTTCTGGCGGTTCTGCTAGCTCTAGTACAGGTGTTGTAGCTAGTGGTACAGCGAGTGGTAATTCCATAAATGGGGCAGGGACTGCAAACAGTTCTGTTTCAAAGAGTAGTGCAAACAATTTACCTAGTGGCCAGTCTAACGCCTCTAACTTAACTAATAGCACCAATTCAACCTGGCGTCAAACTAGCCAAAACCAAGCTCTTCAAAATCAAAGCAGGCCATCAGGCAGAGAAGCTGACTTTGATTATATATCTCTCGTTTATTCCATTGTTGATGATTAAAAGATCAATTACCAGTTCCATTGGTCATTGGCCATTGACTATCGCATTCTGTGACTCAAGACACACACACACCCAAAAGCTTCAAATGATATGATACTAAGTATGTATGGAAAGCAAGACCATGTTGTGGGGAATACAAAAGTGGATCGACTGATAGACGAATGGACTTAGAATTTTGTATGCCTGTAGATTTATTTTTCTTCATCGTTCATAGATATAAACTTGTAAATGTAAGGTTAAAATTTTACCAATATAAAAAAACATCCGACATATATATGATGTTAAAAAAATGGCATGCTTGGTGGTTTGCTACAACCAAAAAGCAAACCTTCCTATTTAAGTAAAGTGTTTTGACTCTGGCTCCCATAGCTTACCTTGGGAAACGGGAAAAATTCTCTGCAGTGTATATGTGCGCATGCAAACTCATATGGTAAATTACACATTAATAAATTATGTATTGCAACACCTATACATATGTTTATGGAAAATAAAAATTTTCAGTAACGACTGAAGTCGAGTGTCGGTAGCATTAAGGGACAAAGTCTAATGTAATTATCTAAATTGCAGCCTGCATTGTCCAAGATATAACATATAATAGATGCATTGTATATCTTTTGTGTACATAGATATATGTTAGGGCCACGTCCTATTTTGCTGCTTGTGCATATCGACCAAATGCCTACTATTCATGAGTGTTTTTGTGTTTCCAGTAAGGAAAAAAATACCTGTGTTATATTCATTATAGGAAGTTATAATCGTATTACGGTTTTGCTTTCATTAAAGCATTCCCACCGAAAAAGTTCGGTTATACATTAAAAAATCACAATAAAAATATCTAAGAAGTTATTTGTTGCCTTTGAATATTGAGCCAGTATTGTTGTGCTTGGAAATAAATTCCATTAATAGATATAATGTCTGTTTAGTAAAAGTAAGTGATTCGAATTGAACATTAGTCCGATGTTATAAGATGAGAGGGGCTTCAATATACAAAAATAAATACGCAATAATAACTGGAACGTTTGAAGTGTGTATATACTTACAGCTGCGGTCAAAATAATATTGTCTCGGTCAACCAAACAGTTATTTCTCATTATTTTCTCCATTTCTTCACTTAGAGAGAGGTTAGGTCCTTGCTTCTGAGGACAGTCAAGGATTCTGCCTTTCGGGCTTGCTCCATCGCAAAAAAAATCTTGTAACTTAAATGCAAGTTTTGAGACAATTTTAATACAAGACGACTCAAAAATAATAGCGTAATTTAAAAAAGCCCAACAAAAGTGTTTTCACTCAAGAAAACACTAGTATTGGCCCTTGGAGCAGTCCCCATTTTGGGCCTTGCGGTCCATTAAGGTTAAAATAACCCAAGAAAATATTTATATTTGGAACTACCGTAAATATTGGACTATTATATAATATCACCCCTTACATTTTTTAAGACTTTCTTTTTTAATTAAGCTTCTTTTTATTGTTACTACCTTACATTAGTTGAGTTGCATTGATATTTAAAAAAAAAAATTATAAACGTTTTTGGCTTCTACGAAAATCACTATAAACACTACTATTAATTTGATTGCAGCTGTAGGTATATGCTTATACATTATTCACTTTGATCAATAGTTTATACATAGTATTGGTGGTATATTCCTAAAAAGGATCACTATTGTAGAGATATCTAGATATCTAGAGATATCCGGCCGTCTGTATAAACAGGCGAGTTAATATAGCCATGTCTGTCTGCCCGAACGTCCGTTTCAACGCATGCTGGTCTAGTATCTCAGTTTTAAAGTCTACTGCACTTAGTATACGTCGGAGCTGGTCGAATCTCTTATGTGAGTTGTATTTGTTGCTTTTATAAAATGAATCCATTACCTGGAATAATTGATGAATTAAATTTGAAAATAACTAAAAATTAAATTTAAAATAATTTTCTTACTATTTTCTTTGAAATTGGTGCCAGTTTAAAATCAATTAAAATCGCGTTTGCTTCTCACAAAATTGATGAATTAAATTTGAAAATAATTAAAAATTTAATTTAAAATAATTTTCTTACTATTTTCTTCGAAACTGGCACTCAATAAAAATCGCGTTTGCTTCTCACAAAAATCAAATCGCAAGTGATTTCGCGAAAAAAGGGCGAAAAAATGTGCCTTTTAGAAAAGGAATGCGTTAGTCTATTTCTTTCTCTTAGTATTATTTTCCTTTTGCTCGTTCACTATGTACCTATGTACCTATGTATGTACATACATATGTGCATAATTTGTCTCTGCATGTCACAAATTCATAGTTTCTTATGATGCTTATGCGCTCGCGTCGGCTTAGCAGTCGGCAAGAATTTGATGAATTTCCTTCAAAAATCATCACCTATTTATTAAAAATGACATTGTCATTGAATTTTCATCAGCCTAAATTATTTGGAGAGTGATCGCGCGCGAGAGAGTCGGGAGATCGTCGACTTTGCAGCCGAAGCAGTTGGCTCTGCTGGCGTATCCGATGATTTTGTTATGTTTTCCAGTAGCGATGAATTGTGGAACTGAAGTGTAGTTCACATTCTTATTCAGTATGTACCAATGTTAGTTTGATCAAAAACGGACGACTATATCATCTATGATGCACATGTATCTGTCATAGAAAAGTCGGAAATGACGTTACGCGGGTCGAACGCGTAAATTTTATATAGTGTGGTTTTGTGTGATATTAAAAGTATTTCGAGAGATTAATAATTTGTAATGTAATTGTAATTTGTAATAATGTAAATAGAGGAAACTTTATGACCATAGAAGTTCCCATAAACTTAGTATCCCCATTTAAATATACATATATAATTCAGAAAGGGATTAACAATTTTGAATTGTAGTTTTTGATTTGTGGTAAAAGGTGGTTTTGAAAGCAAAAAGGTGGATGAAACGACACCTCACAAAGCAGCCTGCATTTTCTATAACTTTTATTACACTTTCACCTGTTTTTTTTTCACTGGGGCCCTTACAAAATAGTCGCAGTTGTCAGATTTACTAAAATTCTAAAAACCGTTAAGGTATTTGGTGTTTGAGCCGTTGCATTAGTTTTCCTAGAAGGTAACGAAATAAAAAAGAAATAAAATCGTCGAGTGAGACATTGATTTAAAATCTTGACGTGATCTCGGTATTTGCTGCGCTAATAATATGCCAGACTCTGAAAATACTAACTATTCCATCTTATGAGAAGAAAGGACGATTAGGTAGTGTTTGGATTTCTTCTTCTATTTATATTTCAATAATGTTGCCATTGATATTTTTTATTAGTCTTTCTATTCATTTGGCAAAAATCCGCCGACAAGCACCCAAGACCTTTTTTTTCATTTTTTTTTTATTTTTTTATTTTATTTTTTTATTTTATTTTTTTTTCACAATTTCTACTGATATTCCAGAAAAGTAAAAATTTTTCGTTCCCACTTTCACCAGCTGAGTAACCGATATCTGTCTGGGAACTCGATTATAGCATTCTATCTTGTTTTTAATTTGCCTTAATTTATTTATATTATGAATAACATTTAAATTCAATTATATAAATATAAAATCCCAGTTGATTTCATCCCTAACATCCTCAACATAACAAATATTAGTTCTTTGTTATCAAATATATATTACATAAATTTACCCTAAATAATCACTCTTTGTAAGTTTTACTTGTAGTTGTTAATAAAATTAATCAATTTCCTGAAATATTAATGAAACAAATTCGGAAATACTTAAAGTTTTCTAATATGTTGGCACTGAATCAAATTCGCGGTTTTGAAGGGCCTTCGCTCCGTCCATTATGTTTAGTTAGTCTTTTCATGTTCCGTTGCGCATCTCAAATGTAAAGTTTCTTTTGATACCTCTGCGCTCGTGGTACATATGTACATACATCTATAGCAATCGGATATTAATGAAAATAAAATGCATTTTGTTGAAATATCAACACTTATTCCTTAAAATGCTTCAATAAATAATCATGTCATAATCTTCGCCTTACATTTTTAAGATAAAGATCGTGTAGTGGTTGGTAAGTAAATGTAAACGCGTATTTCACATTCAATTTCGTTAGAAAAGTTTTTAAAGTGTAATGAGAAAATAAAAATGTAATACCACTTTCAAAAATATATATTCGCAGAGCAATACGAATATATTTCACTTCTATGAAATTTTGTTTTATTAATATAATGACAATATATATTTGAAAAATATAATGACAATGGTATTTTACAGTCGTGACATTCTTTTTTCTTGATCCCGTTCTATACTTTTGTGTGGCTTCTTCATTACCTGCTGTTTTCCAAAACATTAAGCCAGTCGTTTCTTTTGTGCCTAAGGGGTTGAACCGTAATGTTTATAGCAAACGGCTTATTACTGCTTCAATTTATTTCATACGCTTCGGGAGTTCCACCCTTAGTCAGAGTTGGTAAAACACCTAGAAATGAGTCCAAATCAGTCTTCTAATATTTTTTTAAGGCGCTATATTTTCAAACCATCCTGGAATGTATAACTCGGAAATGGCGTTTAGATACGCTATTCATAGGCTTAATATGGACAAAAGCCTTTTGCCTGAGACTACCGTTGATTACTATATTGAATATGTAAATCGATTTGACTCTTTCGAGACAGTTCAAAAGGGTGAGATTGTTATGTCATTGGGAAATATTTAAATACAACGTAACCTGTATTCTAGTGTGCAAACTTATACGAGTTGGTGTTCAAGCTATTTTTAGTCCAACTGACTCTGTTTTGGCGACCCATATAAATTCAGTATGCGATGCCCTGGACATCCCAAACATTGGTCGGTCTGCCCATGACTTTTCTATTAACGTCTATCCATCGCAGAAATATGTAAATTATGCCTTTAATGACGTAATACAGTATTTAAATTGGACACGCTTTGGAATCTTGCATGAAAAAGAAAATGGTAGGTCACCAATGTTATAATCTAATACTAATACACGAGCGCGTAGACTATTTACTGCCAAGAAAAATGCACTAAAGTGGTTCCAATAAAGTTTTTTTAAATCAATCAAATTTGCCAAACACTCCTGGAGTTGTCGACATCATTCCTATGGCTTTGAAGCCTTTTGCGACCATCAAAAAACCGACTCCAGAACAGAACTCTTGGACAACTCCAGAACGGCACGTGTTTCATCAAGCAACGTCACCAAATCTTCATTTTCGAACTTTTTCAGATGTCTAGGGCGTTCCTTGTCTTTCAAGTCAAAATTTGCACTTTTTAATTTCTGCGCAACCCACTTTCTGCATGTTTGCTCACCGAGATCACATTTCCCGTATACCTCCACTGGTTTGTGCAAGTTTGTATCATAGTGTTACTTCGCCCATTAACCCCGATTCTATTATTTGTCTTTTCATTTTTATACCCGTTACTCGTATAGTAAAAGGAGTAAGTAAGAGGTAAAAGGAAGCTTCTCCGACCCTATAAGGTTTTTTTAATCAGGATCAATAGGATCGATCTGGTTATGTCCGTCCGTATGAACATTGAGATCTCAGGAACTATAGATGGAAAACAGCTGAGATAAGCCATGCAGATTCCAGAGACATAGCCACAGCGCAAGTTTGCCACGGCCACTCCAACGCCCACAAACCGCCCAGAACTGCCTCGCCCACTCCAAAAATTTGTTATATTTTTTAATTTTTTTTTATATATCATCTAAATTTCTATAGATTTGCCTAACAAGTTTTTGCACTTCCAATGTAGCGCCCACAAGCCGCGCAAGACTGTCACGGCCACACTTATGAAAAAATTATATATATTTTTTTAATTTTTCCCCAATTTCTACCGATGACCCGGAAAATGTTAGTATTTCTCCTTCCGATGCCACTAGCTGAGTAACTGGTATCTGATGATCAAGAAAGACGACTAGCTTTCTATCCTACTAATACATAAATACATAAAATATATAAATAACTTGTTACAGGAATATTAAACTTGCATCAGCTATCTCGGTCATTTCATGGAGAAGTTCATATGCGACAGGTTTCTCGAGGGTCCTATTTATCCGCATTGAACGAATTTAAAGGAAAGGAAATACATAATATTATTATCGATACAAACTCGAACGGTATTTCCATTTTGTTAAAAAATGTATAATTTTTTTTTTTTGGTAACGTTGCAGTTTCGGGCGGTTTGTGGGCGGTAGAGTGGGCGTGGCAAAAAGTTTTTCGGCAAATCAATACAAATTTACAAGACTAATAAAAAACTAAAAAAATAACATTTAAAAAACGTGGGCGTTTGTAGGCGTTAGAGTGGGCGTGGCAACATTTAGAAATTAACTTGCGCTGCGTCTATGTCTCTGGAAACTGCACGCTTAATTCAACATTCTAGCCTTTGTAGTTCCTGAGATCGAGGCGTTCATACGGACAGACGGACGGACAGACGGACATGGCCAGATCGACTCGGCTATTGATCCTGATCAAGAATATACACAAACCCAAAAGCTTCAAATGATATAAAACTAAGTATGTATGGAAAGCAAGACCACGTTGTGGGGAATACAAAAGTGGATCGACTGATAGACGAATGGACTTAGAATTTTGTATGCCTGCACATTTATTTTTCTTCATCGTTCATAGATATAAACTTGTAAATGTAAGGTTTAAATTTTACCAATATTTTGAATATTGAGCCAGTATTGTTGTGCTTGGAAATAATTTTCATTAATAGATATGTCTGTTTAGTAAAAGTAAGTGATTCGAATTGAACATTAGTCCGATGTTATAAGATGAGAGGGGCTTCAATATACAAAAATTAAATACGCAATAATAACTCGTACGTTTGAATTGTGTATATACTTACAGCTGCGGTCAAAATAGTCTCGGTCAAGCAAACAGTTATTTCTCATTATTTTCTCCATTTCTTCACTTAGAGAGAGGTTAGGTCCTTGCTTCTGAGGACAGTCAAGGATTCTGCCTTTCGGGCTTGCTCCATCGCAAAAAAAATCTTGTAACTTAAATGCAAGTTTTGAGACAATTTTAATACAAGACGACTCAAAAATAATAGCGTAATTTCAAAAAGCCCAACAAAAGTGTTTTCACTCAAGAGAACTCTAGTATTGGCCCTTGGAGCAGTCCCTATTTTGGCCCTTGCGGTCCATTAAGGCCAAAATAACCCAAGAAAATATTTATATTTGGAAACTTTACCGTAAATATTGGACTATTATATAATATCACCCTTTACATTTTTTAAGATTTTCTTTTTTAATTAAGCTTTTTTTTATTGTTACTACCTTACATTAGTTGAGTTGCATTGATATTAAAAAAAAAAATTATAAACGTTTTTGGCTTCCACGAAAATCACTATAAACACTACTATTAATTTGATTGCAGCTGTAGGTATATGCTTATACATTATTCACTTTGATCAATAGTTTATACATAGTATTGGTGGTATATTCCTAAAAATGATCACTATTGTAGAGATATCTAGATATCTAGAGATATCCGGCCGTCTGTATAAACAGGCGAGTTAATATAGCCATGTCTGTCTGCCCGAACGTCCGTTTCAACACATGCTGGTCTAGTATCTCAGTTTTAAAGTCTACTGCACTTAGTATACGTCGGAGCTGGTCGAATCAGACCACATACATATGTTATATGGCTGCCATAGGAATAACGGACAAATAATGAAACCAACTATGTACATACTCGTATATACGTACCTTCGTGTTTCTACCCTAAATTTCCATTCACAAACTTTTCACGAGTGTATCATTTCACCACCTAGCATAAATCTCGAGCGCCTAATCACCGTTTAATTTGTATAAAAACTAGCGATGATTTTAACATTGGCGTGTCCTAGGGAAGCATTGCTGAGAAAAAAACCCAGAAAAAAGAGCGCAAAATCATCTTTTTTTACTGCTGCTTGTGCACATTTTAACGAACAAATCATCATATTATTCATAGCTCTTTCACCAAATTTTAAACACTAGGTCCCCGCTCATTTTTGAAGAGTCTGAAATATCCATCGCTTTTTCATAACTTTTAGTACATATATAATTTCGGAGTTTTCAGCGTCTTCTCCTACGGGTTTTGGTCCATAGTCCCATAAGCGTTGAAAAATAGTCCCATGTTCAATTAACCTTAAAATAAAAAATATTAGTATTAAATCTATTAAAACAATTTATCTTAAATGATCTCTTATGTGAGTTGTATTTGTTGCTTTTATAAAATGAATCCATTACCTGGAATAATTGATGAATTAAATTTGAAAATAAATAAAAATTAAATTTAAAATAATTTTCTTACTATTTTCTTTGAAACTGGCACTCAATTAAAATCGCGTTTGCTTCTCACAAAATTGATGAATTAAATTTGAAGATAATTAAAAATTTAATTTAAAATAATTTTCTTACTATTTTCTTCGAAACTGGCACTCAATAAAAATCGCGTTTGCTTCTCACAAAAATCAAATCGCAAGTGATTTCGCGAAAAAGGGCGAAAAAATGTGCCTTTTAGAAAAGGAATGCGTTAGTCTATTTCTTTCTCTTAGTATTATTTTCCTTTTGCTCGTTCACTATGTACCTATGTACCTATGTATGTACATACATATGTGCATAATTTGTCTCTGCATGTCACAAATTCATAGTTTCTTATGATGCTTATGCGCTCGCCGAATGAGAGCGTCGGCTTAGCAGTCGGCAAGAATTTGATGAATTTCCTTCAAAAATCATCACCTATTTATTAAAAATGACATTGTCATTGAATTTTCATCAGCCTAAATTATTTAGAGAGTGATCGCGCGCGAGAGAGTCGGGAGATCGTCGACTTTGCAGCCGAAGCAGTTGGCTCTGCTGGCGTATCCGATGATTTTGTTATGTTTTCCAGTAGCGATGAATTGTGGAACTGAAGTGTAGTTCACATTCTTATTCAGTATGTACCAATGTTAGTTTGATCAAAAACGGACGACTATATCATCTATGATGCACATGTATCTGTCATAGAAAAGTCGGAAATGACGTTACGCGGGTCGAACGCGTAAATTTTATATAGTGTGGTTTTGTGTGATATTAAAAGTATTTCGAGAGATTAATAATTTGTAATGTAATTGTAATTTGTAATAATGTAAATAGAGGAAACTTTATGACCATAGAAGTTCCCATAAACTTAGTATCCCCATTTAAATATACATATATAATTCAAAAAGGGATTAACAATTTTGAATTGTAGTTTTTGATTTGTGGTATTGAAAGCAAAAAGGTGGATGAAACGACACCTCACAAAGCAGCCTGCATTTTCTATAACTTTTGTTACACTTTCACCTGTTTTTTTTTCACTGGGGCCCTTACAAAATAGTCGCAGTTGTCAGATTTACTAAAGTTCTAAAAACCGTTAAGGTATTTGGTGTTTGAGCCGTTGCATTAGTGTTCCTAGAAGGTAACGAAATAACGTTACGATGTTGCCAGCTCTAAAAAAAAAATAAATAAAATCGTCGAGTGAGACATTGATTTAAAATCTTGACGCGATCTCGGTATTTGCTGCGCTAATAATATGCCAGACTCTGAAAATACTAACTATTCCATCTTATGAGAAGAAAGGACGATTAGGTAGTGTTTAGATTTCTTCTTCTATTCATATTCTTTCATCGGTGAATCATAACCAAGTACATATTTGTATGAAAACTAGCGGTGATTTTAACATTGTCCTAGCAATTCATCGCTTAGACAAACCATCACAAAAACTGCACAAAATAATCACTGTTAGTCACGGTTCATGCACATTATTTAATTTCGAAGAGGGAGAAATTTCAATCTCTTTTTCAAGATTTAACTAGGTTTTCCTTCCAATTTTGGCAACATTCAGTAATTAATAATCGTAGAGAAAAAAGTTTTATAAACATATAATATATCATAATAATATTTAAACTTTATATCATATAAAGTTACAAATATTTTCTTGATCAGTCCACAAACGCATCACAAGTTATTTAAATTATGTTGCCGTTGATATTTTTTATTAGTCTTTCTATCCATTTGGCAAAAATCCGCCGACAAGCACCCAAGACCTTTTATTTCATTTTTTTTTTCATTTATTTTTTTATTTTTTTTTTTCACAATTTCTACTGATATTCCAGAAAAGTAAAAATTTTTCGTTCCCACTTTCACCAGCTGAGTAACCGATATCTGTCTGGGAACTCGATTATAGCATTCTAACTTGTTTTTAATTTGCCTTAATTTATTTATATTATGAATAACATTTAAATTCAATTATATAAATATAAAATCCCAGTTGATTTCATCCCTAACATCCTCAACATAACAAATATTAGTTCTTTGTTATCAAATATATATTACATAAATTTCCCTAAATAATCACTCTTTGTAAGTTTTACTTGTAGTTGTTAATAAAATTAATCAATTTCCTGAAATATTAATGAAACAAATTCGGAAATACTTAAAATTTTCTAATATGTTGGCACTGAATCAAATTCGCGGTTTTGAAGGGCCTTCGCTCCGTCCATTATGTTTAGTTAGTCTTTTCATGTTCCGTTGCGCATCTCAAATGTAAAGTTTCTTTTGATACCTCTGCGCTCGTGGTACATATGTACATACATCTGTAGCAATCGGATATTAATGAAAATAAAATGCATTTTGTTGAAATATCAACACTTATTCCTTAAAATGCTTCAATAAATAATCATGTCATAATCTTCGCCTTACATTTTTAAGATAAAGATCGTGTAGTGGTTGGTAAGTAAATGTAAACGCGTATTTCACATTCAATTTCGTTAGAAAAGTTTTTAAAGTGTAATGAGAAAATAAAAATGTAATACCACTTTCAAAAATATATATTCGCAGAGCAATACGAATATATTTCATTTCTATGAAATTTTGTTTTATTAATATAATGACAATATATATTTGAAAAATATAATGACAATGGTATTTTACAGTCGTGACATTCTTTTTTCTTGATCCCGTTCTATACTTTTGTGTGGCTTCTTCATTACCTGCTGTTTTCCAAAACAGACATCATTTTAAGCCAGTCGTTTCTTTCGTGCCTAAGGGGTTGAACCGTAATGTTTATAGCAAACGGCTTATTACTGCTTCAATTTATTTCATACGCTTCGGGAGTTCCACCCTTAGTGAGAGTTGGTAAAACACCTAGAAATGAGTCCAAATCAGTCTTCTAATATTTTTTTAAGGCGCTATATTTTCAAACCATCCTGGAATGTATAACTCGGAAATGGCGTTTAGATACGCTATTCATAGGCTTAATATGGACAAAAGCCTTTTGCCTGAGACTACCGTTGATTACTATATTGAATATGTAAATCGATTTGACTCTTTCGAGACAGTTCAAAAGGGTGAGATTGTTATGTCATTGGGAAATATTTAAATACAACGTAACCTGTATTCTAGTGTGCAAACTTATACGAGTTGGTGTTCAAGCTATTTTTAGTCCAACTGACTCTGTTTTGGCGACCCATATAAATTCAGTATGCGATGCCCTGGACATCCCAAACATTGGTCGGTCTGCCCATGACTTTTCTATTAACGTCTATCCATCGCAGAAATATGTAAATTATGCCTTTAATGACGTAATACAGTATTTAAATTGGACACGCTTTGGAATCTTGCATGAAAAAGAAAATGGTAGGTCACCAATGTTATAATCTAATACTAATACACGAGCGCGTAGACTATTTACTGCCAAGAAAAATGCACTAAAGTGGTTCCAATAAAGTTTTTTTAAATCAATCAAATTTGCCAAACACTCCTGGAGTTGTCGACATCATTCCTATGGCTTTGAGGCCTTTTGCGACCATCAAAAAACCGACTCCAGAACAGAACTCTTGGACAACTCCAGAACGGCACGTGTTTCATCAAGCAACGTCACCAAATCTTCATTTTCGAACTTTTTCAGATGTCTAGGGCGTTCCTTGTCTTTCAAGTCAAAATTTGCACTTTTTAATTTCTGCGCAACCCACTTTCTGCATGTTTGCTCACCGAGATCACATTTCCCGTATACCTCCACTGGTTTGTGCAAGTTTGTATCATAGTGTTACTTCGCCCAGTCTAACCCCGATTCTATTATTTGTCTTTTCATTTTTATACCCGTTACTCGTATAGTAAAAGGAGTAAGTAAGAGGTAAAAAGAAGCTTCTCCGACCCTATAAGGTTTTTTTAATCAGGATCAATAGGATCGATCTGGTTATGTCCGTCCGTATGAACATTGAGATCTCAGGAACTATAGATGGAAAACAGCTGAGATAAGCCATGCAGATTCCAGAGACATAGCCACAGCGCAAGTTTGCCACGGCCACTCCAACGCCCACAAACCGCCCAGAACTGCCTCGCCCACTCCAAAAATTTGTTATATTTTTTAATTTTTTTTTTATATATCATCTAAATTTCTATAGATTTGCCTAACAAGTTTTTGCACTTCCAATGTAGCGCCCACAAGCCGCGCAAGACTGTCACGGCCACACTTATGAAAAAATTATATATATTTTTTTAATTTTTCCCCAATTTCTACCGATGACCCGGAAAATGTTAGTATTTCTCCTTCCGATGCCACTAGCTGAGTAACGGGTATCTGATGATCAAGAAAGACGACTAGCTTTCTATCCTACTATAAGTAAATATAAAAAAGTAATACATAAAATATATAAAAAACTTGTTACAGGAATATTAAACTTGCATCAGCTATCTCGGTCATTTCATGGAGAAGTTCATATGCGACAGGTTTCTCGAGGGTCCTATTTATCCGCATTGAACGAATTTAAAGGAAAGGAAATACATAATATTATTATCGATACAAACTCGAACGGTATTTCCATTTTGTTAAAAAATGTAAGTATCATTTTTATTTTTTGGTAACGTGGGCTTTGCAGTTTTGGGCGGTTTGTGGGCGGTAGAGTCGGCGTGGCAAAAAGTTTTTCGGCAAATCAATACAAATCTACAAGACTAATAAAAAACTAAAAAATAACATTTAAAAAACGTGGGCGTTTGTAGGCGTTAGAGTGGGCGTGGCAACATTTAGAAATTAACTTGCGCTGCGTCTATGTCTCTGGAAGCTGCATGCTTAATTCAACATTCTAGCCTTTGTAGTTCCTGAGATCGAGGCGTTCATACGGACAGACAGACATGGCCAGATCGACTCAGCTATTGATCCTGATCAAGAATATATATTTATGTGGTCGAAAACGTTTCCTTCTGCCTGTTACATACTTTTCGACGAATCCAGTATACCCTTTTACTCTACTAGTAACTGGTATGAAATAATTTTTCGATATTTGGCCAAAAAATTAAGATAGAAAAAATTTTATATAGTCTTCTAAGTATATAGTATTCGATGGACATGGCCAGATTATCAACAACACTAGTTTGACCATCGCGAAAGAGGACTCCAATTTTATAAGCACACTTTTTACGTTATTATTTTATTGTTAAAAGTCATGCTACAAAAAGTCTATACGGATTTAGTTGAAACAGAAATTGTTAGATCCGTTTTATAGGAAAACTGGCAAAAAGTCTCAAAATGTTAAAATAATTACTTTTAAGGTTAAAATAATTATAGTTACCATAGAATTATTTATTGTACAGAGAACTTAAAAATATCTTTTCAAAAATCGATATGTGTATATGTTTGCATAGCAGAATTCTTTGGCTTAATGGTGCAACTTAGCTTTTTATTGTGGTTTTCCGTTAAACTGTCGTGCTTTTCTAAAGAATTGAAGAATTCGCATCAAACTTTCCCATTGCAATTAGCTTTGGCCGGAGAACTTCGAATTTATTACTTAATATTGTTCTCGTGATAACGAGATATTAGCATGCAGTTCCGTTTTGCTACATCAACACTTTTGCAACTAGTTCCAGTCGTTATGCTGGGACGATCCCAGCAGATCTAAAATTTTTAAAAAAGAAAAAACAGCATTTGTGACTACAGAGGGTCAGTACGAGTTTCTGGCCATCCCATTTGGTCTAAAAAATGCGTCGTCTATTTTTCAACGTGCCATTGTTCAAGCTTTGGGGGACTTAG